AGGCTAGCTGCAAACTGTCATTCATTTTAGACGATGGCAAAATAATGTCCAAATTGTAAATATTGAAATTATTTTGAAACGGGTGTGACAAGAAGGGTTCTCCAGTATCAGGTTATGGGGAGGAATTATAACGTACGGCAGCCTTGAGACGATATTAATGTTTTCCTGTTGTGTGGCGGGCTGAGATGTGACGTAGGGCGGTGGGAAATCAATCACGGTGTCAACAAGTCCACTAGGACGCACGTGCGTTCTACTTCACATAACTAGGTGACTCAACATCACCGTTTTTTTTTGTTGCTGTCTTCTTCTCAAAAGTTTAATTGCAGAGAATATAATCACGTTCTCATCGATTGTCTTCCCGTTAAAATCGTAAAAGACAATCGAAAATTTTCTTTCTGAGTTTTCTAAAAGTTATTGTATTAAACTGCTCTTCTGCACACACACACACACACACACACACACACACATATATGTTTTAAGATATCAAAATAAATACAATAATATCATTCGATGCATAAATAATAATAATAATAATAATAATAATAATAATAATTATTATTATTATTATTATTATTACCACAATTAAAATTATTTAATCGATATATATATATATATATATATATATATATATATATATATATATATATATATATATATATATATATATATATATATATATATATATATATATATATATATATATATATATATATATATATCGATGCTCCAGTTTTAACTAAGTACATTAAGCTTTTTTCCACAAACTTCCTGTACAGTAAGTGCAAAATGAAGCCAAAAGCTTATCTTTAGTTTGTCGGTATTAAATTCCAAATTTCAGAAAAAGATTAGCTCGAATCTGTTTTGTGTAAAAAAGCAGTTTATAGCTTATCTAATCTTTAACTTTAAATATTATTATCATGCAAACTTTGAATTTTTAAACTTACACAAAATATTTGTTGTGTGATATGCTGAGCAGACGTTTATCTAGTGAAAACATATGGATTTTTTGTAGATGTCTTAAGTCTTATGGCGTTCCCTTACACACATGTTTTCGTCCAGTAACACGAAGAATGGTCACCACCCACACCAAGCTGTAAGAGTGATTGCTCGCTAACACTACACAACAAAAGTTAAGTGCAAGGGCTGTGTTGAAATTATTGATCACTGAATGGCATCACGTAACTTTTAAGATTGCCAGGTGCATTTTCACTCCTCTAATTCAATTTCATCGTTCTACTGCTATATTGAAGGCAAGACGCCACAACATGTCGCCTGGTGTGGTTGACTCATCTGAGACAACGAAAAAGAGTTCCATTCTCAAAAATTCGGCTGGTATTTTATTTTTCCGTAATTGGAGTTTTAATTACTCAACAAACACGATTTCTTCAAGATGCGGCCCAAGAATGATGACCTAAATAAATGACGTTGAAATTACACCAAGACTCTCCTTCGGTAAAGATGTGGGTTTCTTTCACTTCCTAGTAGGATTTCGAGATGTTCGATACCATGAATTTTCCTCGTATTTTAAGAAGTAAGCATGTACATACCTATCCTGTTGGTTTAAAATAAAGTTTAAAAGGTAACGTACACAAATGCAATAGAAAATTCACTCAGATTCACTTACCACCAGATGAAATTAAAAAAAGTAAAAAGTAAAAGAAATTAGGGTAGAAAGTTCTTGGAAAAGATTATTTACCTAATTTTGTCTCTGAACAGATGTTTAAGTAGAAACATTTTATGATATTTCTGTGCATTTTTCTTTATTCTTTATCTCACATTCTTATATCTTCACTTTCGAGGATAATTCATGGTATGAATATATATAAATAAATGACATTGTATCTCGAGCTTTAATTGTTGGGGATTTTTTTAAAGTTTAATGTGAAATTTAAAAAAATAAATTACGTATGCAAGCTGAGGACGTGAGCATGTGTAACTATTTGCTGTAATAATTATTTCCGAACACCTTTTTCATTTGGTTTATACCACTACACACCCTTACATATACTGTACGTCTCTCCCTCACCTTCTTTGACTTTTCTGTATACATATAGATCCACCTCACACGAAAGCGGAAGAAAAATAAAGAAATTACTTTAATATGCAAGTTTCCTTGGGTGTACGAAGTTTCTCTGGGTGTATGAAAGTTTTCCTGTGTTTGAAAGTTTCTCCGGATGTATGAAAGTTTCCCTGAGTGTATGAAAGAAGAAATGACTAAAATGAGTCACGAAACATATCAATACTGTATACACTATACAGTATATCAAGCAGCTGTCTCGGTCCCCTATTACCTAGCCATTTTCTCGTTGACAAGCAAAAAATTTTTTGCTCGTCATCGGTGGTGGTAAATTTATAAGAGAAAACTACCTATAAATCACTGATATTGGGGCTGTAACACCACCTCAGGAACGCTTGTATTTTTTTTTGGGGGGTAGATTTGTGTTTGTTTGAGAGGTGACTGGGAGAAAGACATGGGAGACGAGAGTTTATCTGGGAGTGGTGAAATGTCTGTCTGTATATAAAGAGAAACTGAAGATTAGATGCTTGGATGTAAGAGGGTTTGTGTACGGTAGAAGATATCTGTATATCCAACACTTGAAGAACTGCAGGTCATTTCAGAGGATGGAAAAACATATGTGTAGAGTTTCACTGTGAGGGAGCCACGAGGAATGAATGATGATGAAGGATGTCCGTCTGTGTGGCATGTCGGCAATGTAATGATGACAAACAGTGGAGTGCCGAGTGGAATGTCGTAGTTGAGTCGCCTTGAGCCACAACCCTTCCTGACCTTGATATTATTAGGACCTATCGAGCTTTGCCTAAACAAATGAACTGTACAGAGAATCCTCCCTATATACAGTACACTTATTCTTCCTTCACTACATATAACTTGCTAACAAAACCAACGGTCCCTCAGGCACTCCCTGGCCCCATCATCTGAGTCTAATAAGGCAATCAGGAACTCCCCATGCATCCTCGTTGGCCGCTGTAAAGGGGGTGCCTAATAAACTAGCCCCCGTACTGTGAGGGGAAAATCGAGCAAAAAGTAGAACATGCTTACAGAACGGAGTGAACACGGGTAAGAACGGGAGTCATGAAGTGAGAATTAGATTATCCAGGAAACTATTTTTTTGTCTTTTATCATAATACAACACAAGCCACAAGTGATAAACATTGATTGGTTTTGAACTATTATCTCATAGCTGGGGAGGAATAAGGATTGGCTGAAGTAAATTATTCGATGACAGTCATGAAGGTGACAGGTGAAGGTAACTGTCATGATCACACGTGGCAGTCCTGAAAAGTGACAGGTGAAGGTAACTCATGATCGCACGTGAGAGTCATCAAGGTGACAGGTAAAGTTAACTGTCATGATCACACGTGACAGTCATAAAGGTGACAGGTGGAACTAATTGTCATGTCCACTCTTGACAGTCAATAGTGTCATCGAGGCCTGAGCCATGTGATCATGGTTTATCTTTATATCTCATCGTAGGATCGGTAAGAAAACGTTAGTTACACTTTAATCGTAATACACCACGCGAGATACGGACAGTAAGACACAGACACAAATGACTAAACAGGCAGAAAGACACATACAGACAAACACAGACTGGACCCGTCTCGCCTGCTGGGATATTACCAAACAAGGGCAACAAGTTACAGTATAGAGGTGCCAATAACAATCCTGACCACTGTCACATTCCTGACTACTGTCACACTCCTGATCACTGTCACACTCCTGACCACTGTCACACTTGTGAGGTGCTCACTCGTGCAGTTCTTTGCTGGGTCCATAGCCAACCCCATCTTTTTCTTCTGTTTCCTCTGACACTCACTCAACGTCCTCATACTAGACTGAGGCCCCTCACGTGCCGTCCCTCAACCCAGCACAAACACAACCACTCTCTTTTCTCTTCTCATAACTTCACTACAAGCCAACATTCTTTTTCTTCAAGCGTTGAGTCTATAATTTTTTGGGGAGATGTGTTCTGATGCCTCTTTCTTCCTCATCACCCCTTGTGGTTAAGACACATTGGTCTTATTAAAAGAAAAATATGTGCAGACGCGTCGAAAGAAGGACATACAGACAGAGGACAGAAGAAGAGGCAGGCAGAGTGAAAGATAGGTACAGAAAGAAATACAGCCAGAAAAGACAGACGGAGAGATAGACAGAAGGAAATATAGACAGCCTGAAAGGTAGATTGGAAGATAGACAAACAGACAGACAGAAAAAAAAAACATACGTGTACAGTATACAGATAGACAAAGGTAAATACAACTTCCTGTTGTGTACTGTACATACCAGCCCCTTCCCCTTCACGGTGCTTGCGTGAATATTTACTCGCATTATAGTAAGGAAATTTTATAAAAGTAAAAATAGCATGAATTAGAATAGTAGTAATAATAATGATAAAATGTTAATGACTAATATATAAAAACCACGATCGGCACTGCACTCGACCGCATTTACTTTCCCCAACCGTAAAGTTAGGTCAGTTCTCACCATGAACGTACTCACTTAGCAAGTATAAAAATATGTACACAAAGGTATAAGCGCAAAAGGAGTCATAAAATAAGCAGTATTTGCATATTCAGAAATATATAGAAAATAAGTTGCAAATTTGAAAAAACAACTTAGACCTAATGCAGTCCTTCCCTAATCTAACCGCACCCTATGTTTCCTAATCTGAGACAATTGACATGACCATCTAAGATTAGAGTTTGTTTCAGGGGCTCACTATTGGCACAATACTATACTGTGTAAAAAAACGTTTATAGAATGTCTTTGGGCTTCAAAATCAGTGTAATGCTAACCTTGAACACTAACTTAGGCAAAGATTGAGGTCTATTGGGTGAGATATGACTCTCCAACACCCATGATATTTTTTGCACCACGCACACACGCGCGGGCGTTCTATTTTTATTTATTTTTGCCAATTTTGAATCCCTGATATATATACATGACCCTCAACTCCAACTAGTACTTGAGGACTTACCCATGTTAGGCGCATGTTTCAGTACAGTGATGTTGGGCGTCACACCTCACTCCTGCCTGCTGGTGTTGTCTTGTATTCTATTGCTTCCTCAAACTCAAATACTGTACCCAATTCGCGTGTGTTCACTCCTCAATTAATAAGTTTCCAACAAATGTTAGTTTTCTAAAATTCTCTGCAGCGCTGGAAGTTTTATGGCTTTAGTTTCTATTTCGTATATTGTATTTTTTCTGGTGTAGATGTATTGGATAAATTTAAGATATATTTATTCAGACAAGGAGCAAACACGAGTAGAAATGCCGTCTCAAAAAAGATGATTTTCGAATCTTCGTTGTATTTTGAAAGTTTGATATCTTGAGGATCGTTTAAGTCTTAGGTTTATCCTCGAAGCTTAGAGAATGTCAGAGTCAGACATAAGAGACCGTTAGAGTGTATCAAAGACGGCCATGGAATGTCAGAAACAGCTAGAATTATACAAAAGCCTTGCACCAATAAGATCCTCGATGACTGGTGTTTGTTAGTCAGTTTCACGCTGCCCCAAGATGAACTCCTGATGTGGTGGCTGCAGGTGGTGGACTGGTGGTTTTGATGTCACGCCTCCTGCAGAGAGCTAGTTTAGCGACACACTGACGCCTCTGGTGTTGGCGACGCCCTTAATTCAGCTTTGGGAGGGAGGGAAATACTCAAAACTTTCTCCCCCTACTGTTGCTCCTCCCTCCCTCTCTCTCACACAACTTCCCTCGAACTGGATAACTCTGTGTGAGCTTCACGGACTGTTGTGGCTGGTGTTGATGCTGCTACTGTAGTTGTGTCCGATGATGGTGCTGATTCTTCTCAGTTCTCATCTCACCAGATGCCAATTAGACCTGAGACCACTTACTCTTGAGACCCTGAACAAGTCTTTCTTCAAGCTATTTGACATTCGCTTTGCTGTTACAGTTGATGCTGACTTCTGTTGTTTCTTGTTGTTTTTATTATTTTTGTTGCTTGTGTTATTGTTGACAGCCATTGTTGCTGTTGTTGTCAAAGTGAATGTATTGTTTCTTGTTGTCTTCCTTGGCGCTGCCAGCTGTTGTCGTTTTTGTTATTGTCAAAGTTGTGCACTCACCCACGCGACCGTAAACCACCTCCACCTTCTTCTCTACTCATCCCATACACTTTCATCGGCGCAACTTGATGGTGACTCCCTTACCCCCTACTCCCTCAACCTGTGTGCCTCGCATATTCATTCTACATGCCATTAGTTCTCTTAATTAATTAGGTGTTTGCACGAGTTATTACTTTCTCCTACTCTCTTTTTTATACACGTGCGAGGATTTTCATAACCTCCATCCCATCACATCTATATACAGTATATATATATATATATATATATATATATATATATATATATATATATATATATATATATATATATATATATATATATATATATATATATATATATATATATATTTATATATATATTGATAAAATCACACAGGGAAAAGGGAAACAATGGAGCACCTTAGCTTTCATCTTTATTCAAGACATCTTCAGAGGCAACTGAATTACAGGGACAGAATGGGGGGGATTTCTCTCAGCTGAATAAAATCGTCTGGAAATTATAGCTATAATAAAATATCTATGTGCGACATTACTTCTTGGTTATTTAAGTTAGCCTGTGCAATTTAGTCTCGGCTAATAAAACAAATTCAAGACACCTGTATTATTACAGTACTGTACACTTATGCTGAACACCTGAATTTGCTTACACGAAGATTAGATTAAGCACGCCAAATTATTTCGCCTGATTATACTGTACAGTATACCTGAACGCTACCTAGGGGGAGGGAGTTAAGTTTGATTAGGTTAGCGTTAGGGTGTATAATCATCAGGTGAAATCACCTGATGTACCTAATTTTCATAATTATGATCCATTAAATCTGAAAAGTATATGTTCAGTACAGTATCTCTGAATAACCGTACCGATTCAGTCACAAACGCCTCCTGCCATCTTGTGAATGAACCAATCATGATGCTTGCTTCTGTACTTGGACTGATGTTTCATTTCACATTTTCACTGACTGACAATGTAGCTTTTTTTCTGCACCAGTCTTCTATCCATCACAGTGTACTTTTATCCATATATTTTCTTTCCTAATCTAACCTAACCTGATCTAGCCTAACTTTACCTAACTTAATATGACCTAACCTTACCCTATCCTAATTTATTCTGACCTAACCTAAACCTAACTTAACTTAATCTGACCTAATCTAAACCTAACCTAATCTAATCTAGCTTTACCTAAACATAACCCTACTTAATTATGCCAAACCTAACCTAACCTAATCTGGTCTAACTTAAACTAAACAATCTAATCTAGCTTTACTTACCGTAACGTCATCTAATCTAACCTAATCCAAACCAATTTAGTCTTACCTTAACCTAACATAACTTAACCTAACTAACATAATCTAACCTAAATTAAACTAAACTTACCTGGTTTAATTTAGCTACCTAAACCTAACGTTAATCTAATTAAATCTAAATTTTACCTAACCAAACCTCGTTTTAGACGTGGCCAATGCATGAATATTCTGAACAGCGAAGGTGACACAACTCAGCCCTGGCACAACCATACAGGTATTCATATTAAACCTCTCTCTCTCTCTCTCTCTCTCTCTCTCTCTCAGGGTCTAATTCTTAAATGATATTCTTACAGCTGAAGATTAGATACCCCAGCTCACTTCACCAGCTGAAGATTAACCACTTGAACGGTACCTGGGAGGATTAGGTTAGGTTAGATAAGGGTAGATTAGGTTAGACTAAGGTAGGTTAGGCTAAGTTAGATTAAGTTTGATTACGTTAGGTTAGATTAAGTTAGGGTAGGGGCGGTAGAATAAGTTATCGTTTTGGCTAGGTTAGGTTAGATTAAGTTAGGGTAGGGCGGTAGATTAAGTTAAGGTAGGGCGGTAGAATAAGCTATAGCTTAGGCTAGGTTAGGTGTGTGTGTGTGTGCACCTGTGTTTAGTGTGTTTACAGCTGTTTCCTACCTGTCGGCTGTAAGCCAAACTACTGTAGTTCGTTCTGGTAGCTAAACCATGTATCTATCTCTCTCTCTGCTGAATTGTGATGTGATCAAATTGATGTGCCACAGTCAACAGTCACTATTTTAGGTATGTACGGTTGAGAACGTAACTATTGATTGACAATGATGTGTACACACACACACACACACACACACATGGCACAGGTGTATAACCACATACACACACACACACACACACACACATGGCACAGGTGTATAATCACACACACAACACACATACACCTGTTCGTCTGCGTCACCACCCACCTTCACCTAAGGTCTGCCATCCTGTAAATGTTGACGTTGACACAGCAGGAGTTTTGATAGGCTGGAGATGAAGGAAGAAGGAAGGGGGCTTTGTGTACAGTACTCTAAGTCATTACTGAAACTGAAATAAATTGCAATGAGTACAGACAGTCACTAAGGTTAGGAGAGAGGGAGAGGGAAAGAGAAGAATTGGGGGAAGATGAGAGGGTAGGGTGTGGAGGAGGGAGGGCTAATGTGTAAGGGAAGAAGGGTAAGATGTGAGGGAAGGAAGGAATGGAAGGTAAAGTGCAATGGAGGGAGGGTAGAATGTGAGGGAAGGAGGTTAAGGTTGTGAAGGAATAAGGATTGATAGTGTAATGGAAGGAGAGAACGTATGGGAGAGAGAAAGTAGGATATAAGAGAGAGAGGGGGGGAGATAAGGGAAAAGTATAATGTCGTTTTTTAGTCTAGTTTAACAAATTTATTAAAAAAGCTTGGAGTACAGTTGGCTTATTCTGAGTAATTCAGTCAGGTCTTGACACTGAGGGTGGTATCACTTCTCACTGCCACGCAGGACAGAGGTTCATACACAAAGAAATGCATCATATTCATTAACAGTACAGGTATATATATATATATATATATATATATATATATATATATATATATATATATATATATATATATATATATATATATATATATATATATATATATATATATATATATATATATATATATATATATATATATATATATATATATATATATATATATATATATATGTATATATATATATATATATATATATATATATATATATATATACAGTATATAAATCACATTCATGTGGGTGATGTCACTGTTCACTGTCATGCAGGACAGAGGTTCGTACACAAAGAAATACATCATATTCATTGACAGTATATATACCTGTAGGTCTGATTCATGTGGGTAAAATGTCGGAGAGAAGGAGTGGGGGAAGTAGAGGAGCGTGTAAGTGAAGGAGAGTGCTATTAGGGAGAGGATGGTGGGACAGAAAGAGAGAAGGAATGATGGAAAGTAAGATGCGAGGGAAGGAGAGAATGAACGAGGGAGGAAGAGAGATTAGAATTAGGAGGGTGTGAATGGGTGAATGAATACAGGTAGGGGCAAGATTAAATTATAACTGTATTTACACTTAAGTTTGAGACAACAAAAGCAAAGTAAATTAAAAAAAAGAACGGTGACATAAAAAGTTAACATGAAGCATAATGACATATGGCAGTAATCTAGTTCAGAGTAGAGGTTATACAAACATCAGAGTACGTCCTCATATTGAAGTCATATCTGAGTGTAGATGCCTATAGTCATCAACTTGAAACGTTCTCTGGCTGTTTTTTGTTTTTTTAAGAATCCTCCCAAGTTTTGTATCTCTCCACTGCAGGAACTTATTGTCTTTCCTTTTAATGGTTCCGAACCATTTATTACCCTTTTCTGGTTCATTTGTTTAATCTTTCTGTATATTTTCCTATAATTATGCCCTTTGTCATCATCTTCAATCTCCTCGCATTTCCTTGAGTGAGTCTGATATTCTTTATCTTTATCTCAAGAGAAGACTTGACCAACACTGGAGTGGGTTCAGGTACGTTCAGGAGCCGGTGCATGCCCAGTATTTGCCAACAGTGCGTGACAGAGACGTGACCGATCGCCCGGGCGGCTAGCGAGCCGATCTTTTGGTGAAGATTATAAATGAAAAGAGACGTGACCGATCGCCCAAGCGGCTAACAAGCCGATCAGTGGCGAAGAGGATAAAAGTAAAAATAATTAGCAAATAAAAACGATTGTTTTCGCTGGTAACTATGGCGGTAATGTAATTCACCATTATCGACAGGAAGCTTTGCCCTCATCCAAGCGAGAAAAGTGGCTTGATCACTTGAAGTCCTTTTTCCGAGGAAAATTTTAGTACAGTACAGTATGAACATCTGAGATTGTGGTCTGGTAATATCAGCGTTATTACTTTTTTACTTTTACTTTTATATTAGTGACCACACTTAAATAAACTACCTTCCTCTCTCGACATGAACGTGATATATTAAATTTCACTTAACACTGATATGCTTGTGAGTTAAAATAGTCCATTTCATATATTTGTGTTTTAGTAAAACTTTATATTATGTGAAATGCAAGAGTTTCTGAAGAAATAAAAGAAAATGGTTGTGGAACTTCCCACGAATCTCGTTCTCTATGTTCATACTTACGCCTACATTTCTTGTTTTGTACACAAACCACTTTAAATGTTTTTTTCCATCGGCTAGAATTAATATGAATAAATTATATATAAATTTTGATATGTAAATAACCATACGATGTCAATGAAAATTTGAAAATAAGCAATAAAATAGACTGTTAACAGAGCATGCGTATAAAGGTCGCTGGCTCAGTGTTTACTGTGTTGTGTAGAGCGAGTGTCGAGTTGGCACTTGGCGACTCTCAATTTTCAGTATTTTGTGAATATATGGAAGCCTGATAAGATGAATAGACCAGACGGGCTTATCCAGCGAAGGAACGTACAAAAAGAAAAAGACGAGAAGAATAACCAAAACGACAGTGATGATGAGAAGAGAAGACATTCTAGTGGAGACGACGATCTGGACGACGGGGACTCCAAGGAAACAAGACTTACACTAATGGAAGAAGTGCTTTTACTGGGGCTCAAAGATAAAGAAGTGAGTCAAGGATTATCTCTGAGTATTTACGCAACAATTTAAGAAAATAATAGAGAGAATTTGGTTGTATATTTGGGAGTTATTAGCGCAAGTTGGCAGCTGGCCCTGAGGGTTGCTGGTCAATGTACCGACGTGGCCGATTCACCTGTCAAAATTAGGACGCACATCTACCTGCCTACTGTGTGATGTTCTGCTTACTGTCTACCGTGGAACTAAAAGAGAATTGCTTACATGTCGTAGATATGTTATCATGTAATGCAATGGCTTCTGAAAACTGCTTGAGACTACTCGAAACTTCACACTTTAGCCTTGTATACAAAAGTTGTGGTTGAGAGGAAATTTTTAAACAGCTGCATCAGCTGTAGGTTGTGATTTTTTTCTTAATTGCCTTAGAAATGTATTTTTCATTGCAGGGGCATTTTTATGGTCCTTAGTTTGTAAAAAAAAAAATATATAGTTTAGGGTATATTCATGTTAATAATGGTACACATGTTTACTGGGATTTTTTTTCTGAAATATTTGTTTTAATGCATTAAAAGCAGATCTAGTTTTAGATCAAGGAAAATTTACCATGCATTCCTACATTTTATGTAGTGAGTAGGCCCAGGTTTCCATGCCTACGACACTTTAACAATATAAAACTAAGTGTTATACATTTTCTGATAGTAAAAGGAATGAACCACTGAGCAATATGAATTTTTGGCAGGATTTAGTGTTTCGTTCCCATGGAAATCTGACAGTTTCAGAACTTAATTTCCCAAGAAGTAAAGGTTGTTGCCTACTTATCATTTCTTAGGTAAATTCAAAGTACTTTTTCCCTTGCTGTACTGAAATTGTATTCTATTATGGTTACCATACATCCATATGTTCCCGGACGTGTCCTCCTGTTTGGTACCTAAATCTCTGTCTGGGAGGAATTTTGTAGTATATTAAAATGTCCAGGATTTTTCCCTTATTATATTTCCCCATGGGTTTTCGATGCAAAATTGTCCATCATTTAAAATTAGGAATAAACTACTCCTTGATTCTTGGGGGTAAATAGTGTCGATCATTCAAGGGGGAGAATGTGTGTTGATTATTGGTCCTGGAGTTGTCTATTTCACTGCACTGTTCAGTTTTTGTCCTAGACAGATCCAATTTTCCAAAACCTCTCCTGGCTCAGCCACGACACTAATTTCAATTTCTTATCCGAGTGCGTAATGTGCACATTAACGTGTCTTCAAGAGACCCGTGTTTGATTTTTTTTTTTAATCCCTTAACACAATGCCAAAATAAAACTATAAATTTGCTACAAAACTAAAGACGGTAAAATTATCATTTCAGTCATCCACCTACTATTTGGAAGTTGAAATTATGTTTTTCCGGTGGTTTTTGGTGTGTTTTGAATGATTGTGACCTTCATTTCTATAGCAAATCGCTACTTTTTGAGCTACCACACCCTCCTTATCCAGCGATAATGGGGAGCCCCCCTTGAGAACCAGGGGTTATGGGTGGGGGAAGATCACAAAAAGTAGTAATTTGCGATAGAAATTAAGGTCACAATCATTCAAAACACACCAAAAACCATCGGAAAAACATAATTTCAACCTAACCTAACCTATTCTAATCTAACCAAAACTTTAAATCCTAAAATTTGCTGGATCACCAAAACAATAATAACACAGTACCCTAAAGAGAAAATTCAAGTGTCTTTGAAGTGGTAGAAAAGAATGAGAAGCTGGGTGTTTACTTACGTCTCTGTGACAAATAACAGCTCAAATTATTTACAAACTCATGGGGACTAAGACAAGCACAAGAAAGCAGTTTGAGGAGAGAGCTCATCAGGAAAATTGACAGATTATTTTGTAAACCAAGACAGCAAATCAGAGGACGATTTTACTGCAGCACATATAACACATTATATAACATTAACCCTCTGGTACCTCTGGCAATGGTTGGAAATCTCACCCCATCAGTCTTTTGACGCAGGTTGCGTCGGTGATAGGAATGGTTTTCCATTTTAATAAACGTGAGGTAAAGTGATTCATACCCAAATTGCACCCTTAGAGATGCATCTGCCAGCCCGTGAGGCTAGTGGGAGGAACTTACCGTAGGCGGTTGATATGGCCAATCCACTGTTCCTGTGTTTCTGCTTACAGGAGGGGTTGAGGCAGCACAGGAGTGCTTAGTTATACAATTTGTGTCAAAAGACCCCTTCGCTTGGTGGAGTGTCCTCTTTTTTTAATGTTCAAATATGGTAAATCTAATTCTATGCTTTAAAACAAACATTGTACTGTACTAAAAATCCTCAAGAAAATAATCTGTTGTTAACCTGGAATAGACTGCCCTAAATGGTAGTATACAGTAGTTCTGTTCTGTAGTTTCAATACAGTATTAAAGAAATTATGTAATTCTGTACTTTACTACAGTATTCTTTTGCAACCAAACTTCTCAAAGCACCAGCTAAATCATATTTACGGTACAGTATTTTTGTTGCTAACCTATTAAGTACTTAGAAAATTTTTTATCGTAAGACAACCATTATTTGATTCATGGAAGAAAGTTTTTATATACCGGTACTGTACTTGTTATGTGAGTATCTCTGACCAATGGTCCTGAGTTCGAGTTCTGGTGTGGGACAAACATAGGAAGGCTGTTATTCTGTGCGGCTGTAACAAAAAAAAACACATTGCAGGTTTTCTCCGGATACAGGTTGCACCAAAAAATTCTTAGCATCGGGTATTCGAAAACTTGGAAAATCCAGATTTATTTTTTATTACTTTTTTTTAGTCAAGGCATTTAATTATATAGTATGCAGGTACAGCAGTTACCTATGATTCACTCCGGAGTCAGCAGCCTACACTTCCAAATCTTTTAATTGTACAGTAGTAGGTGCATAAATAAATAGCTGTACTGTACTGTGCTTGTTTTTTTTATTGTTACGGTATTAAACTTATTTATGTGTAACTTACATTAGTTTAATTTCAGTTATACATATATTCTTTATTACTGTAGTTTATAAATATCATACAGTACAGTATTTATTTCGTGCTTAGTGAAATATTTGTTTTTTTTATAATGACCTTCAGTTAGCTGAAAGTTTCAGTTATCTAAAATGGTACAGTATTTAAAAAAAAATTAAATGCAACCTGTACTCTGGACTCTGGTTTCTTCCTGTACTAACACTGGATAATAAAGTTCATAACAAAGTAACAAAGAGCAGACCAACTGTCCAAATGCCAATAAGCTGGTAAGTGGTGAAATGATTCATTAAAATAAAATTAGGACAAGGATGGCACTGCCTGGGATTTCAGAGAGGATACCTTACAAGCCATCTTTTTCTTCCTTTCACCATAAAATGATATTTCTCGGATCTATCATGTGTTTCCTAAACCCAAAACCTGTAGTGTTTCAATTGAAAAAACTTTATTTCCAACAGACTGGGATAAGATCATTGTTTTTTGGGGGGTGTATTCCTATACTGTATTCTCTTTCACCTAATTTAGAATGTGAAATCACACTACAGTATATCCAGTTATCACCAAACAGTATTAGTGGTTTGTATGTTATAGAAATATATCAGCTGCCTCGTGGATAAATAAAGACCAAGAAATTTACTCGTGCTCAGCAGTGATGCAGTTGAGATTGACCCCAAGAAATGAGACCATTTGCAATTTTAGCCTTGTGGAGCATCTAAATACAGTATTATCCCCTCCAAATAGTTTCAAGGTGGTAAAAGTTCAGGTCGGTTAAGCTGAGGGGTGAAGCTTCAGTGAATACAGGACTTGGGGCTAATCTTCAGGTGATCCATAAAAGCTAAAATTACGAACGCTTTCTGGGTCGGTCTCGTCTCGACTTTATCACTGGTGCTTGATGAACCAGGAGTCACACCTGTATGGAAGTGTATCAGTCCTAGTTTCATATTCTTATACTGTACAGTACAAGTATTCACAAACATTGGAAGTTATAATTGGATAGTTTCAATGATGTCAATATTTATTTGAGAATTTCAGCTGTCGATTTATTTTTGTTTATTATTTCTTGAATATTAACTTCATGAAATTAAATTTGTATGAATGGAAATGATATTGTTGATAATAAAATAAATTTTTTTTTTGTTAAAGCTTGTATTGTTGAGTCACTATATACATTTGTTCTACTGCAGGGATACACAAGTTTCTGGAATGATTGCATATCATCAGGTCTTCGTGGGTGCATCTTGATAGAACTGGCACTAAGAGGTAGAGTGGAACTGGAAAAGGCTGGGTTACGACGCAAGTCCCTTCTAAACCGTAAGGTAAGCTAATAACAGTAATAAAAATCTATTGTTTTGAAATTTGTTTAATGTGTAACTACAATTTCAGTGAGGATACTAGTGTGTAATAGACTAACAGCAAGAATGTCTTCAACCCATTCACATGAAAGTTCATAGAACAGTGAAGCTTTGTGGCTTTCCCATTTGGGGAAGTGTGTAGATACTGTACCCATTCTACCTCGGATTTGAATCAAACAGTGCAGCACAACCTGAAGCATGGGAGGACTGCACCACGATGTTTAATGTTGTCTACCCTCATTAAACAGAGCTACTTTGATATGAGTGATAAAAGTACTGTGCTGTACTGTATGTTGATAATATGTAATTTTTGCTTCTGTATCTCTTGGTGATGTCACTGTTGCATTATACATTTATATGATGTATTTATTAGTAATGGAATGCAAATTAAAAATTTCATGTACAGTTATATTACAAATAATTTGCATAGAAATTCTCTTACAAAATTTCTGTAGCTCTTGTACAGTACCTGCAAAAATGTAACAATGAACAAAAGAATTTTTTATTCAATTATGTAATAACAGAAACTTAGGTAATTTATATAGGCGTTAAAACAAACCAAATTTAAATTACTAATGCTTGCAACAGCAAGCTACAGTACTCACAACCCAGTAAGGTTCATCCAAGGCTATTTTAACCTTCAGAAACTGACTAGTTAGGCTTTAAATTTTTCTCCTGCTTCCATATTTTATAAATCTATTTTTATGTTTTAGGAATGTTGTTTATCTAGTAATAATTAGTGGGAAAATAAGAAGAAATCTTTTAATGTCCTTACCTCCAGGAAAATGATTTGGACATACACTATGCCAAAATAAATGCCATATCTCAATTTAAATATGGCAATAGAAGGTGCTGTTATAAAATACACTTGCTACAAATTGTATCTTTATGATTTTGTGTGAGGCAATATGACAATGGACGAAGGATTTTTGACAACCCTATCGAGACAACAGGAGTCGTGGTGTTCATTTTGCAATTTATCGGAACCCTCTGTAAAAATGCTTTTTGGAGTGAGTTCAACCCCATCAGAGAAGCATTGTAGGGGCTTATGGGCCTTATGGCAAACCAGTTTCCTTTTACAGTCTTTCTCCAATGATCAAGTTTAACTAACTTGAAACTGCATATGAAAATTTTTAAGAAATACAGTGGGGTATGCTTTAACGAACGTAATTGGTTCCAGAACCTCGTTCGTTATAGCATTCGATCATTATAGGATTAATCCGTTCCAGGCCCCCAAATACAACCACTTAACACTGAAAAAATTCTGTGGTAAATGTAAAAAATACGGTACTTTATCTTACCTTAGTGTTATTCAGCATGCAGGTACCCCTAAACACTGGCACATCACTATCACTTCCACTGGGAGTCTTGGCTTTAAGGTCCTCAAACAATTGTCTGGCCTTCTCACAAATTATAGCTTCACTTATGTTACCACCTGCCATTTCTTTCTCCTTTATCCACACTAAGAATAAATTTTCCATCTCTTCAATCACATTACACTTTGCTTTGCTAAGTCTAAAGATTCCCTTAGCCACTTGCACAGTTTTTAACTCCTCTTTATTCTTCAAAATCGTACATATAGTCGATTTAGCCATCCCATATTCATCACTAAGTTTCGCAATGCTTCTTCCATTCTCACGTTTCTTTATAATTTCTTTCTTAGTTTCAAGGGTTATTAGCTTTCTCACCCGCTTTGGACGACTCATTGTTACAATTGTATACTTGTATAACAAAATAGTTATACAAATAACGCGAATTTCCACATCAAAAGACGAAATTTCAACAATAACAGTGGTGCACTGGCTACACAATGAGACAAAGATGGCGCCTGACGCTCTTGTTGTGGGTCGCGGTACAACAATATTCATGCGCCAGGCGAAATAGTCCCGTATTCGTCCGCGTTCGTTGTAGGAGTTGCGTTCGTTATAGCATTCTCAATTTTATAGGTAAAACCGTTCGTTATAGGAATATTCGGAGTAGGATCCGTTCGTTATAGCATACCCCACTGTATGTGTCCGTATCCATTTCTCTCCTTCCTTGTTTGTGGTGTCTGTAGGCCCAAGGATTTGCATGTGTCTAGATAGGGCAAATTTGCTAACTTTAGGACTTGTTTTGTTAATCTTTGTTGCACATTTTCCAGTAAATCAATATCTTTGGCAAGATAAGGTAACCAGCATTAAATTGCATAGTCACTGCTGAGTCTCACTAGTTTCAAATACGGTGGTACAAATATTTATTTATTTATAAAAATAAAGCTTTTATTTATTATCCTGAGTGCACTATCGGCCTTACTTGCAACATGGACTAGGTATGCTGATTTCAGATCACATGAGACATGTATTCCAAGGTCTTTTTCATGTCAAGTTTCTTAAGTACTGTGCCATTTAAACGGTAATTGGATCTTGGATTTTTACTGCCAAAGTGCATCTTTTACACTAGTTTACATTAAATGACAACAGCCACTTCTAGTCTCTTCCATTCTCAGCCCTTAAATGGCAGTTAAGGATTCCCTACTCTGCCCCTATTTGTGCAAAAAATGGGATGCAATGAACATGAATCTTCCACTGATGTTGGCTGCTGTCCTTCCCGCTAATTTCCACTAATGATGGCCAGCATTTAAAGAGCTTAGCTCCGAATATACAGACCCCTGGGGCACACAGGCAACCAATCTGGAGACAAGCCTCTGATGGAGAGCCGGTAGGAAAGGCGGGTTGCTGGCTGGACTGAACGGAAAATTCCCCTACTGCCATCCTGTCCTGCTACCCCCCTTAAAACAACAGTATGCAATATTACCATAATTCCCATATTAGTTAGGTTCATTTGATGCCAGGTTAATAAAGTCACACGCTCGACCCCAGATGAGTTATTGTGTCATTAAATTCCCGGTGTTCTGTTTACATAGATGAACAGCTGTCCAACCAGCAGCCAGGGAAGGAGCTGTTTATGTAATATAGAACTATTTTTTGTACATTATCTGTGTTATTGTGTTTTTATGTACAATGTATGATATTTAGTATTTATTAAAATCTTGTGTTACCAAACTATATTTCATATATAGTACAGGTAAGAAAAAAGATCCAATATTGTGACAATTTATCTGGACTAAAAATACCAAACTACTTCATACACAGTACTGTATACTGAACAATTGGACAAGTTTTTTTTTTAGTTTTTTTATACTGAAAACTCCTTACACTGAAAACCTCCCAATACCGAACTGACTGCTCACCCATTATTTTGGTATTGAGAGGTAATACTGTGTACTCTACAAGGGGGTCTTCATTATATGTTGGGGAAGTTTTCCAGGGAAACTCAACTTATAGTGAAACATTTTGTGGCGAGGAATTTTTCCCCATAAGAATTAATGTACTGTAATTAGGGGTGTATGCATTCCAACATTTACAGTCACAATCCAAAATTTGTATCCAGGCATTGTTGTAGCCAAGGATCCAGAAGGACCGGGAGACCAAACACCACTACCTCCCCTCCCTCCTTCATGATAGATGGAGTGGTAGTTCAGTAAGTTGCCAGACAATGCGAGATTAATGATGGGTGTTTTGTTATTTAGTATGAGTTTCATAATACTGTACAATAATGATGTACTGTAATGATATTATTGTAAATGAATGATGTAATGATATTATTGTAAATGAATAATGTAATGATATTATTGTAAATGAATAATGTAATGATATTATTGTAAATGAATGATGTAATGATATTATTGTAAATGAATGATGTAATGATATTATTGTAAATGATATGATGATTATAACTCTGTGGTGAGAGGGAGATGCACCATACACTGTGTTCCTGGAGAGAGCACTTTCACCAAATCAGCTTATAATGGGGTTATTATAACATACTGTATTCCATAACCAAATGACTTTCAAGGAAACTAACTAATTCGGATAATGAGGGATACCCATACCTCCCACTTCTATGTGTGTTTTTTATATTTTAACACTCGCCTTTGGCAATATAACCCATTCCTCAATGGGTTAATAGTAAAGATACGGTTAATAAGTTTGTGATAAGATTAAAATTATATTGGTTGCAACATTTGCATTAAGTGATAAACTATATTACTCCCAGCATCAAGTAAAACATATCTGCTGAGAATTAGCCATTTTGCCATTTAGTATTTTAGTCCTGTTTTATTGTACGGTATAGGTTAAGAAAGAATCAGGGAGCAGGAATTATACCAGTTGCTTTCTTCTATTCTTACTAGTATCTTTTTCTTTTTAGCCTCCCTCCTCTGGAGCTTTTTTTTTTTACCTCACTTCCCTAGAACCTCCATTCTTAGGGGTTGACAGTAAGAGGAGACTCCCAGCCACCTTATCACTACAAATTTCATTTTCCCTTGTTCTTTATATTCCCTCCACAATTCTCTTTCTTCTTGAGGTATGCTCCATGTTTCCCTCTCATGATGAAGGGTGTCTCCCACTACCTTTGCCATCATATCTTCAGGCATCCTTTCCACATGCATCTTTTAGTTTATCCCATTAATTACAGAAGAAGACAAACTATACATCATCTATTCCTTGTTCTTTTTGTTCAAAATCTAACCATAAAAGATGCCTCAAGTGAGTGTAGGTTGTTTCTTTAATAGTGCAACAAGATCAATTATTTATTTTTATTTTACTTTTTATTATTATGACCTAGAATGTATATCCAGAATTGTAACTGCATCATGTTGCTCACTCAGTGCCAGTTGCTATTGATTGACTGAGAACTTATTGAGCAACTTCTGCTGAAGCATCTCATCAAACTCTTGGTCTTTCTATGTCAAGTTATTTTTCTGTCCTAACTTCAAGTACCTGTATATACAAATAAAGTTCAGCTCACTTCATTACCCTTTGTTTATAACTAGTACAGTCGACCCTCGTTAATTCGGACTAATAGGGGGGGGAGGGTGTCCGTTTTAGCCGATTGTCCGAATTAACCGATTTAGGGGTTAATATCGCATTATATTTCAAAGTCATTGTTTTCGTCACGATTTTATCCCACTTTCCACTGTAATACGTAAGTAATTTCAGCAAAAATATTACATTTCCGTGAATGTATTATATCAAGCACAGTATGAATAGAATATCATTGTAATATAACAGTATTTTAACCGAAAACTAGTAAAAAAACGAATAACATCTCAAGAACATCGAAAGCTTAGGTAAAGTCTTTTGCTTTCGTCATGTATTTTATCCTATTTTACCTTGAAATACATCACGTTTCAGCAAACCTACTATTTATTTCTGAGAATATATTCATTCAGGCGCAGTTTAGGTAAAATATACGTGTGATGTAACAGTTTTTTAACTGAAAACGATTCGAAAAACACGTACCCTCTAGCCCTGTTCAAGGAGAGGACTGGGAGAAGCTGTTTGGGGCTGCAGACGATGACAAGGAAAATGATTTGAATGGATTTTAATGAAAATATTCAGAAATATGGTATCGTAGTATTTATTCAAGTCAATTAGGATAGAATATTATTGTAATACAACGGTTTTTTTAACTGAAAACCAATCGAAAAGCGATTACGGTAACATCTTTTGAACGAACAAAAGCGAAAGTCATTGTTTTCATCACGATTTTATCGCACTTTCCACTGTAATACGTATGTAATTTCAGCAAAAATATTACATTTCCGTGAATGTATTATATCAAGCACAGTATTAATAGAATACCATTGTAATATAACAGTATTTTAACCAAAAACTCTTAAAAAAACGAGTAACTTCTCTTGAACATTGGAAGGTTAGGTAAAATCTTTTGTTTTCGTCATGTATTTTATCCTATTTTACATTAAAATACATCACGTTTCAGCAAAACTACTATTTATTTCCGAGAATATATTCATTCAGGCGCAGTTTAGGTAAAATATACGTGTGATGTAACAGTCTTTTAACTGAAAACGATTCGAAAAACACGTGTACCGTCTAGCTGATTGATACTCAACAGCTGGTGGTGCATCATGCGTCGTTGTAAACAATAGGTAGGAGGTTGAAGTAGATTACCGGGTATTATATTACGTGTGAAATATCGAAAAGGTTTTTATTACCGGTATTTTTTGTAGATCAATGAGTACTGTGATACCGTATATGATATGATAAGTTAGCCTATGCTAAGAACTTCAACATAGACTACTGAAAACACGTTGTAAGGTAATTTAGCCTATTGTAAGTTTGGTGAGCTTCATTTGCTGAAGGAACTGCACAACTTTTCATTACTAATTGGTACATATTTTACGTTTCCATTGTTTACTGGCAGTAAATGGTAAATATTTTTCATGTCTGAAGCTAAAGTTGCATCCCCCCCCCACACTAGTGGTGGAGATGTTAAATTTAACCAAAATGATGCTGGTGTTTTATCCCAGCAGTGGGTGGACCAGCATTTTAGCTTAAGGTCCGCGTAGGTAATATTCCTAAAAAAAAAAAGAAAAAAGTTCGTTCAGATTTTGTCCGAATTATCCGAAATCCGGATTAAAGGGGTCCGAATTAACGAGGGTCGACTGTACTGTATTATTGAGTTTGAGGATAAATGGAGTGACTATATTGTTGATAAACCCTAATTTTTTTCTAGGTAATATTGCGATCTGACCAGCCAACTGGAGATGTGTTATTGGACGAAGCACTAAAACACATAAAAGAAACAGATCCACCAGAGACTGTACAATCTTGGATTGAATTTCTTTCTGGTAAGTAAACAGGTTGATAAACAGTTTTATTGAACAGATAAATACTGTTAATACCTAGCACTTTGTCAAGAACCATTTAGCCCATCTTTACTGCATACCAACACCATGGTACTTGTACACCACACTGAACAGTGTGTTAATATCATGGTTTCAGTTTGCAGTGAATAAGGTGATAGGTAATTTCTTGTGGGTGACCATGCTTTTGAATATTAGAGCCAAGAGAGCAGTAGAGTGATAGATACAGGTTCATATAATTTGAACAGGATTTGCTTTAGTGTAAATATGTTAAGATATGTGATATATATCAAAATTAATGCTGTCTGACTTGGTGTGCTGTTTGGCCTTATTACAGGGGAATCTTGGAACCCACTCAAATTGCGTTATCAGCTGCGCAATGTGCGAGAACGGCTAGCCAAGAACATGGTGGAGAAGGGGGTCCTTACAACTGAAAAACAAAACTTTCTTGTATTCGACATGACCACACATCCTCTTACAGATAATGTCACTAAGACGAAACTTGTGAAAAAGGTATTTTCATTTTCATTTACAGCATTTATAGATTCAGGAAAAGCTTATGATAAGAGTAGATAGAACAGCAGGGTAGGGTGGAAATGGGAAGTTGCTTAATGCTACCCAGCATTTTTACAGGGAGGGTAAAGTATTTGTTAGAGTTTGTCTGGAAGAGTGAACTGTTCCCTAGTGAAAGTAAGATTCTGTCAAGGATATGTAATGTTCCCTTGATTCTTTTATATTTTCATAGTGGTGAAAGCAAGAATGATTCAGAAAGGTGCAAGTTTGGTGAATAATAATTTGAAATGTAAATGGGAAGTGAGTCAATGGCTGTTTTCAGATGGCACTACTCTTGTGAGTTTTTCACAAGTGATTGAGTTTGGAAGAGTTTATACTTGGGGAAAGATGATAGTGAATGTGAGGAAAAGAAAATTAATGAAAATGATAAGAGAAGTAAGATAAAAATTAACATTAGATTGAATGGAAATGGAATGGATGAAATGGAGTGTTTCAGGTACAGTACAGTATATGGAAGTAGATGTCTGATATATGAAGGTTGAACAACATGTTTGCTGAATGAGGGAAAATAATAGGTGGATTGAGAATTTTATGGAGAGAGAGATCCATGTCAATCAAAAAAGGCAAAGCTGGGGATGCACCAGAGAAATGTTCAGCCAATTTTTTTTTTTTTTTTAATGGGTGTGAAATGTGGTGGGCATCCTTTTTTTTCGGGTGCTAAAAAATAAGGTGTAATTGTATGAAGGTCAAGTATGACAGACCCACACATTGGCCTTCAAGTTATATCCTTATCTGTGGTTGGTTATGAAAATTATGCTGCACTTAGCTTCAAGATTTGTAAATGGACACTGTAGTGTAAATTTTTGTACTAGCAACTGTTTGTTCAGTACAGGTTGACAACCCTTTATCCGCAAACCGAAAAGCTCTGAAAACCGTTTTTTTTTTTTTTTTTTAAGAAGCAGGGATTAGCCCACCCAGGCATAGATCACTGATCCACATCGGGGCCTGGGGGGCAAAAATGTAATACCGGTAGTAATACTAATTATAATAATAACAATAATTATAATAATAATAATAATTATTCATAGTAAATAAAAAATTTTATTAAAAAATACACCAAAATAAAATAATAATGATAACAATAATAATATTAAAATATAATAATAAAATTTATAATAATAATAATAATAATAACAATAATACAGTACTGTATTATAAAAATATTAATAATAATAATAAAACACAAAAATGAAAAAAGATAAAAAGTGAGAAACATGACCTATACCTGTGAATTATCATTATTATAATTATTATTATATTTTTGCCCCCCAGGCCCCAATGTAGGTCAGTGACTTGTGCCCGGGTGGGCTAATACACATTCAAAGAAAAAAAAAACATTCTGAAAACCGAAAAATTACGAAATGCCTCTCGCCCCAAGGATTTTGGAAAAGGGATTGTCAACCTGTAACAGGATGAGCAGATTTATGAAGGAAAATAGGGAATGAGATGAAAGAAATTTGGGGGGATATAAAAGTGAATTCTCTTTGGGGTTTCAACTTCAAGATTCTACATCCCTTGTGATCAGATCATGTCATGTAAGGATGAAAAGTCCCTTGTCTGTTTATAATTTTCATGCCTTTCTTGAACTCAGGTCCAGGACAGTGTGTTGAGTCGGTGGGTAGGTGACCCCCAGAGGATGGACCGGCGGGTACTTTCACTCATTTATCTCGCACATGCATCTGATGTCTTAGAAAATGCCTTTGCTCCTCTGTCTGATGATGACTATGAGGTAAGAAGTATTTAGTTTGTGGAAGTGGTGTTCAAAAGATATTTGTGAGTGGCAGGGAATGGTTGAATGAGAGAGAGAACTGAATGCAGTACATTGATATTTGGATTTTCTGCTGATTCTCAGTTCATGCTTTGGCAATCGATATCCCATTGACCTGTAATACAAAATTTACATATTCTGTACAAACCAGTACCTTCTGTCATACAAAGCCCTAAAATGCTGTACTGTGCTCTGGAAAATCAGAATACGTACTCTGTCAAGTAGTTTAAGTATATTGTATAGGGAAATTAAAACCTCGATAGATAAAATGGTATAAAAGCTTTATGTTAATATTATTTGCCATCAGTATACAAACTTTTCTTTAGTATTCTGTTACATAGGGCATAGAGTCAGAAAATTTAGGCAAGCAAAATATTATTTACAATTCCCAGACTCTCAAAAATAAAATCTTAGATGCTAGCAAGCATTGTTTGGGCAATTTTCTTTTCAGAATTCAGGTTGAACCTCACTAGCTTGGGACCAAACCAGTGTCAGACTCTAAAAAATTCCGAACACCCGAAACTTAGGTTTAAAGAAAAAGGAAAAATAATACCGGTATGCATATTACAACCTATGCAAGTATATTTTGGGGTAAATTTTAGGCAAATAAAGTTACCAACTCCTGTGAGGAATAAGATAAAATAATAAACAGTGTACCAATAAATATTTATTACGTGAGCAATAGATAAAAAATAATACCAATAAATAAAAAATTACTGTATTGTTATTCATCTTGTGTTTTCCAAGACCTTTATTCATTATGATGATTCCTCTCCTATTAAACATTTATAATTCTCTTGACCCTTAGGCCCCGGGTGACGTTAATTTTTTATTTTTTTAAATTAGATTTTTTTTCGCGATATATCTCCGCGCGGGGTTTGGGGTACTGCCAGCAGCACCCTAACCCGGGGCGTAAAGATTAATACCTGCATGTTAACATCTTATATGTTTGATTAATATTAATGTACAGTATTAATATTATTACTGTTTTCATTATTAGGTTGCCATGAAACGTGTACGAGACCTCTTGGATCTTGACTTGGATGTGGAAGCTGCAAAACCCAATGCCAATGACTTAATGTGGTCAGTGTTTGCAGCATTCATTAAATAAATCTTGTGTGTCAAGGTTGAAATGGAGGAACAATATATTAGTGCCTGTGATGATTCTGATGAACATGGTTTGGGAAATATTAGTATCATATTTATTTACATGCTATGTGATATATCATGATTTGAATTTTTCCTTCGTGTAATCCACACTCTTATTACTTTTCCAAAGTTTTGACATGAAAGGTGTAGGATTATGCATTAGGTGAAGGTTGCTCATGACTTTACCATACCACATCCTTAATAGTTTATGAAGAAATAACAGTTGTATGAGGATGATCTACCAAGTAAGTAGGTTATTGTTGTTATCCTTATTGCCTGTCCATTTAATAGGGGATAGAGCAAACACATAACCTCTTAACATAGATAGATGATGGCTTAAACCTTTTCAATATTTAGCATATGGTAGTCTGTGTGTGTGTGAGAGTGAGTGAGTGAGTGAGTGAGTGAGTGTATTATATATATATATATATATATATATATATATATATATATATATATATATATATATATATATATATATATATATATATATATATATATATATATATATATATATATATATATATATATATATATATATATATATATATATATATATATATATATATATATATATATATATATATATATATATATATATATATATATATATATTCCAGCTAGTTCAGGGCATTTCTGATTTGGTTTAGTATTTTTTCAACATTATCTTTGTTTAACTTATGTTAGCATGTGTTTCATTTTGATCCACCAAAATTGATAGCAGTGATGACGTGATCAAATGAGTCTCTACATTTATAAATGTGTGGTGGCACTCCAAATTATCTCTACACACAAAATTGGTATATTTTATATAATAGTTTTAAAGTTGAGTTTGTTGTATAATTATTAATTTTAGAATATTATACAATAATTTGTACTTCATGTCAGAGTACCGTATATCCTATTTGTCAAGGCATTATTTGTTTTACATATAGAGATAGCATGTAGGCAGAGGTGTGATGCTTAGTCTAGTTACAGTAACTGTATACAACCCAAGCCTACATGTCGTGGTGTGGGGGTATCATATTATCTGTAAATGCATGATCTGGATCTTTAGAAGTGTTGGAGGCACAAAGATCAGGAATTATTAGATATACCTTGATAATTATGCCTAATTTGAATTGATGAAGATGTATTCATTATTGTCATAATTGTATCTACTGCCTGTGTTTTGTAGCAGATGTGTTTTTTAATATAATTTGTATTGTATTTTGTTTAATTTTGTAATATAAAAATTTCTAATTGACATCAGTTTTGAATTCCATGGTATTACCCCTGCACCACTACCATGCCAGGAGCTTAAGGGTGAATTTAGCTATTGTAAGCTTTTTATCCTCTACCATTATTTTGCTTTTTTTATTATTAAAGAATATTGATAGAAATGGTGATGGTATATACTGTAAAACTGTATACAGAGTTATTAGCAGCATTTGTTGATTAGTTATTGTGATAGAGAAAACAGAAAACAAATAAAAATTAAGATGGTTGTCCATAGCATCTTTTTTTTCACTGTCATTCTCATCATCTTTCCACAAGAGGGTGCTGCTGTGTCATGTTTATCTTTTTTTTGTATAACTCCATTGTCGGTATGTAGTTGTGAGAGGATTAGCAAATTTCATTTCCCATATATTCTTCCATAAAGCTAAGTTTTCCATTATGTAAATTGGAAAATGGGCCATTGGAGTGTCTCTTCTTTGTTGAAATTTGCCAATCAAGTTGAATGTTTCTCTTCATATATATATATATATATATATATATATATATATATATATATATATATATATATATATATATATATATATATATATATATATATATATATATATATATATATATATATAATAGCAATATTAACAATGTGTGACCATACAGTCATTTTCAATTTTGCAAACTTGAGCAGTTCTTTATGTTGGGATTTACATAGGAAACATTTGCATTCCATACCAACTGACAAGCTGTTAAAATTGAAAGTGTTGATTGTGGTCCCCTCATAATATTAACTGATGGAACAGCCAAGTTGGTGCTAAAGGTTGTGTCACATTGGGTGCCACAGTAGCACTTGGAAACTTCATTGTTGATGATGAGCAAGAGCTGCCCCAGAGCTCCTTACCTGCAGCCATGTCATTGCCAAGGAAAAGCTACCAATCTACATTAATTTTCCTTCTTATAAGTCTGCATTTACGCGGTTTTTGTTTACACGTTTGGTCATTTACGTGGTGCCTTGCCAGAATTAAAATGCACTAATTACGCGGTAAATTTGGTCATTTACGCGGCGAGCGGCTGGAGAGGTCGAGACCGCCGCGCCATTTTTTACCCACGCGGTCCATTCTTGACCATACGCGGGAAGCGGCGTGGTGAGTGGTGCGCATTAGGCCGCTCTTAGGTTATCGCTGACGTCATATAACGTATCGGACTGTGATTGGGCCACGCATCCTTACCTCCCTCCGCCGCTAGCTGTGATTGGTCTAATGTAACATGACGTGCCCTGCCACCAGAGGGTAGAAGTCGCTGACCTATCAGGGCCTGTTTCATTGTTCTCAGTCCGCGTATACAGTTCTCTCTTGTGCCCGCTATTCCCCTCACAACTCACAATGGCTTCCGCGGGACCCTCACCACCAGAGAAAAACATTGAATTACCTGGACCAAGCCATGATAATGTGAAGGAAATCATCGAGTTGGGGGAGAAAATTAAGCTCATCCTTGACAACGACCCAGACAAGCATCGGTGTGAAGCGTCTAATAACCATCTGACGAAAGTTATGGAGCCGTATATCCGGATCTATCTCGACAACATCAATGCTAGTCGTCAACGTAGTATTGAGGACTTACTCGCCCACAACCCACCAGAACCACAGCCAGCCCAAGTCAGTGATAGTGATATTGGCAGTGAGGATATGGACTTTGAGGGGTTTGTCTGGGAGGCCCTGCAAACCTCTGCGAGTAGTGAAAGTGAAAGTGATTCACAGGAGGGCAACTAATCTGCCCTCTGCCTCGGAACCAGCCGCCGTCCACGTGTGCCGACCCAGCTTTTCTACTAACATAGTAAGTGTTAAAAAGCTAATATTATTGATATTTCTCTTAATTATTAATTGTGTGTGCATACCATCATAAAATTAAGATGTTATTTTTACTACAACGTAGGTATTGTGTGAGAAAAAGTGGAGTTTGGGGGTCGGCCCAGTCTCTATTTCAATTAATCCCATATGGTCTGTTATTTCATTTACGCGTTTCTCGTTTTACGCGGGCCTCCACGGGTTCAATTGACCGCGTAAATGCAGACTATACTGTATAAACATTTTGGCAAAGTTCGTTTGGAAGAAGGAAGTCCCTTACCAGAGAATGACCAAATGCAAAGTAGCTGTAGTAGTGTCCAGTGAAGCAGGTGGTAGATAGTGGGCATGAAATAGTACAGTGAGGGCCTGGTGTACAGTATATTGAGATACTGACAACTGCACAATTTGACAGTCTCAAGTGCAAAATTTATATTTGCCAATTTTATTGTAATACAGTTACAATTATCCCATGGCTATCACAGCAGTCAGGAGAAAATTAATTTTGTTATGTGAAACTTGTATGCCACAAGTATTATAGTGTCCCTAAAATGATGATTAATTTATTTTATTAAAGTACATACAGGTATATAGATTTTAACACTAATTTGTTCATCAAATTTTATTGAAACTGATTTAATTATTTTATTTTTAAAACGTATGTAACTTAGCCTTAAGCACCATCTTTTCTTGCCCACGTTGTAGAGAAAGTTATAGCTTGTACAGTTTTGTTCAAGATTCTTCGAACACTGCTGGAGACAGCTGGCAACTCAAGGCCGTTTGTTTACGATAGTACGTAATATAATATAATATGAAACAACAAAGCCCAACCATTAAATTAAACAACGGGGAACTAAGTAACCAATCACCGATCACTTTTACATTTATTCTAATTTGTACTACGTACTACAGTATAGTAAACAAATGGCCTTGAGTTGCGAGCTGTCTCCAGCAGTGTTTGAAGAATCTTGAACGAGACTGTACATTATTTTATACAAAAAATTCCTATCAAGTAATTAATTTTCCTTGCAGTATCCATTTCGATACTCTGCATCAAAATGTCAATTATAGAACTTATAGACTTTCCCAAAGGCACCAGAGTAGTGCCAAAAATAAAGTAAAATCTGGAATGAATTAAAATAAACTATACTGTATATTTATTTTTATGTGAGCCTATTAAATTACATGGCATATTGCACTCAATGCAGGTATTGTAGAACTCATCTGCAAAATATGTTATGAAAATTGCTTAATTTTCACATTTCCTAGTACAGTACGTATAATTCTTGTTTCTAGTTTCCTATTTTTTCCGTGTTTAATCAGATTTATGTTATAAAGCACTATATTATGTCATATTTACAGTGTTTTTATTTTCTTCAATAGTAATTTTCACCTAGTTTTGTATTTAGATATGGAAATGGTCATTATACTGTCTTGCTTTTGGGTTTTTTTTGGACTCATCGGATTGTCTTAGTTTTGTACTTTAGTGGGTAATTACTTAGCTCAAGTCTTGAAATAGGTTCTGTCAGGAGGAATTGGATTGCCAGACCTTATCTTCCCACCACTCTGCCATTCTCCACCAGATTTTTATTGTTTTTAAAAATATCATTTTTTTCTCCTATTTAGTATTTGAATCAAGTACCAAATACCTCAGAAAAATTATTATTCTTAAGTAAAAACAAGTACTGTACTGTACCACTGAACAATAGAAGACAACCAAACAGCAGAACAAAAATATGATACTGTAATAGAATATAAGGAAGAAACTGCTGCACTCCTTTTAGTAAAATTTACATTAATTGATTGTCATAATGTTTACCAATTTTTACTAAAGTAATATTTGTTAAATTTGATACAAATTTGCTTTACTAATTGACTGACTTCAATCAAATTTACAGACTGGCTACTGGTAAGAAAATGTGTTGACCTTGGGGTTTAATCTTATGGGTGTGATCACTTCATTAGTTGGCTTAGTTATGAGTGACATAAATGGTGCACATGTTGTGATCAGTTCTTAGTGGGTCAAGTCAATTAATGGAATGTGTATATTTATTTTAAGCTTCCATGGCATGTATATTAGGAATAATTTTTGTGAATTCTTTATATTTTCTCACTTCATAATTGATCATTATATTGATCAGTATTAATTTCTTCTTTACAAACAAGAACCATGGTACTACAGTACATGCATACCATATCCAACAATGTTTTAATTTCATAGTTTTGGTTTGTGGTACAGAAGAGATTAATTATACATTTGAAGATTGAAAATATATTGTTTTCTTTTTACTTTAGCCATATTTACATTAGGGTTGTCCTTCAGCATGAACCCAAATTTTTCTATCCCTCAACTTTTTTATGACTGTAAACGTATAAACACATACCCTCTTTAGTGAAGTTTTGACATTGCATTGGCAAAACTTTGTCCAGTTTAAAGAATTAACTATTTTATACTATAGTCGACCAATAAATGACCAAGAGCAATGTTATTGAGGCCACCACAGATATTTCAGAGTATATATGTGATTGTCAACTTGGAGCACAAACCTTGTTTGTGTTCATGTGAAGATTTTGGTTCTAACTGCATGAGAACATGTGAGTTCATGACCAATTAAGATTTTTTTTATTACATATATGAAGATATGTACAGTATCATAAAGATTTAATAATACAGTATATTTGTAGTGTAATGCAAGTAACTTTGTTGTAAGCATTTTATTCATATGCATGAAAAATTTTTGAAATCTTATATTAAGCTTTTGTTAGTTGCAGAATGAGCCAATATTTATCTTGGCACAGTACACATATTTATTTTGATTTATTAACCAAGTTAGTGAATAAAGTTGCCTCTGGTACTGGCAGGTTTCTACCCATAGCATTCCAAGGAAGACATTGAGCTTGGTAATGGTGATTCCCCTCTTGGTTTTTCTCTGTTGATATATAAATAAGCTATTAAATATCTGCACTGTGACTGAACCTGTTTAATAATAAAAGGAACTTGTTCTTTTTGTCTTTTTATCCCCAGAAGATAGGTTGTAGAACTTATCAGTGGGAGAACTACTCATTTTCCATTAATGATCCTTCTCTTAGGCAATATTGCCATTGCAACCACACATTGTCATCTACTCCATATAATTAGTTGTCAATCTTTTTAATTGTTTCACCCATTTCTTTACATAACAGTCATCTTTGTGTTACTATGCTGAAAAAAAATCTAGAGTTATATTATAACTTGAACAACATTACTGTAATAATGTTTGCACTCAGTAGCCTTTGAAAACTCAATAAATTACTATGAAATTTTGTACAATAGTTATGTTTAATTTACCAATAATGTACTGTAAAATTGTCTGAATTTCATGATTATGCGCCTTGAATATTAGGGAAATTTTTTTTTCAATAATGGGCAACATTCCATTGTAATTTCCTATCCAAAAGAAAACATACCCTGCATTACTAATACAGTAGAATATCTGTCAATTTAAATCTAGTTTATGAAAAAATCTTTTTCATGAAAGATTTGAGCATTCTAGATATGAAATTTAATACTGCAACAAATATTTTTTAAGTATAATTTTCTACATACTGTACTATATTACATGAGATGAAATTGGACAATCAGGCAACTGGCTCAGTAACTATGTGGTGTTGAGTGAAGAGTCTACAGTACTTGTTTTCACATACTGTAGTTTAAGGAATAAGTTACACAGTATTCTGATTGTAGAAGAATGATGACACATCGGAAGCTTTTGTAAACTTACCGGTAATAACATTAAGTGTGTTGGAAAACAATTAAGTAAATTAGTGTACGTACAGTTATTTGCAGAAACTAATAAGACGACAAAACTGACATACAGTAAGTATTGTGGTTTATTATGTGCTATCCTTGGACTATTTTATGATCGATCAGGGTTCTTCTTAGATTCAACTTCGAAGTCAAGATAATCTTTCTTTGATCCCATGTGTACAGGGCCCCCTTTGAGTTGAATAAAATCGTCTGACAGCCAAAGAAAATAATAAAAGTTGCATGTTAGCTGAGATAGTATATTAACTGGAAGATACATTTTTATGGTTAATCCCAATGAATAATGCAGAGAATTGATTCATTAATGCTTAAAAATTGCACACAAAAAATTGCATAATGTCCGGTGAGGTCATACTGTAGTAGGCAGCTTTCAAACAGGGAGGTACTTCTGCCTGGGAAGATATTGGAAGCTTAATGTGTTGTCTAAGGGCTCAGGACAAAACTCCCTTAGATTAGGATAAGTTTGTTCAAGGGGGTTTTGTCATACACTCGTTGTCTAAGGGTAGACCCTGCTGCCACATGGTATCACAAAAATTACCAAGGCTTTCGACAATGTACCCCGTGAAAGGCTGAAAATCAAACTGGAAGGGTGCAAAATTCGGGGAAACGTCCTAGCGTGGATAGAAGACTTTCTACATGACCGCAAGCAGTGTGTGGTGATTAATGGCACGAAATCATCATCTGTACCTGTCACAAGCGGGGTACCACAGGGCAGTGTATTGGACCCGCTGTCGTTTGTTTGTTAAATAAATGACATGCCTGACGTTGTACACTCCTCCATACAAATGTTTGCCGATGACGCCAAGTTATTTCGGGAAATCAAGAACCGTGCGGAGTGTGAAGAGCTGCAGAAGGATCTCTGTGGGCTCCAAGAATGGTCGAAGAAATGGCTGCTGAGAATCAATGTCATGAAGTGTAAGAGGATGCATCTGGGGCATACCAACGGTAAGGAGACATATCACATGTCCCAACGGGATGAAGAAACTGGACTATTTGAGACAATGTGAGAAGGACCTAGGTGTGTATGTTGACAATGAGCTTAAGTTCTTGGGCTATTGCGAGAAGATGGTAAATCAGGCAAATAAATTATTGGGTCATATAAAAAAATCGTTCACATATCTAGACGGTCTGGCCCTCGTAACGATCTTCAAGAGTGAAGTGCTACCCTATCTGGAGTACTGTCACCCCGTCTGGTCCCCGAGAGACGCTAGGGACTCAGTTGGTTGAAAATGTTCAAAGGAGGGCCACCAGACTGGTGCCTGCATTTCGGCACCTCAGCAACCCTGAGAGATTGGAGCGCCTAGCTTATACTACAGACGGGCAAGGGGCGACCTAATTGAGGTGCATAAGCATCTCAAGGGGCACTACTCAGTCGAGTGTCCTTACTTGGAGCTGGCGGACGCTCGCCCCACAAGGGGTCACAGCTCAAGATTGAAGAAGCCGCGGGTCCAGAAAACTGCGAGAGCAAACTTTTTTGGAGTGAGAGTTGTGAACTCTTGGAACAATCTACCAGAAAGTGTTGTAATGGCACCGAGTGTGAGCCCAGTACTTGCCAACAGTGCGTAACAGAGACGTGACCGATCGCCCAAGCGGCTAACGAGCCGATCAGTGGTGAAGAATATAGTAGAAGACGAAAAAAAGTGATCAAGTCCCAGGTTACTGATCTCTCTCTCTCTCTCTCTCTCTCTCTCTCTCTCTATATATATATATATATATATATATATATATATATATATATATATATATATATATATATATATATATATATATATATATATATACGACAAGTACAGTACAGTAAATATAAAAACCAACTCCACCATGACGTTGATTGGTGGGTTCCAGCGTCTCCGTTACCATAGCAACTATATAATGTACAGTACAAACTACAAGTTGGTACAAATTCGACACACTGAAATTCACCTTTTGTCATCATCATGGCGTATAACAAGTTTTCTACACTTTAAGGAAAAGCATTGATAATCGTCAGTTAATCTTTTAAAAGGAAATAATTAAATTAATACTTTCCAGTATTGCACTTGTTGCTCTTGGTAATTTTATTCGAAAGTTGCTGACGTACCATGAGAGCTGAAATCAACCAATTCAGCACGATTTATATTCCAAAGAGAACTTAGGTGAAATGATACGTTGATCTATCAAGCTATACTTAATACAACCATGGTATATAATAATAAAACTATTACAGTATAGACTTTGTTTATAAACCTCGTTTGTATTGTGGTGCTAAACTGGTTGCTTATACAAACTAGTTAGATATTTAAGTAAATATTTACACTCAAGATTGATATTGATGTTTAGAAATAAATACGCAATTAAAATTAAATTCCACTAAAAAATGGATGGCCCTGATAAAACAGCAGAAAGTAAATCGGCTACAGATGGTGCGCCGCTTCAGGGAGCCTCCAGCTCCAGGTTGTGTAAGAAATTGGGTGTAGCAGTCAAGGATGAGGTGGTGGCCAGGTCTGTATTGGTTAAATTCCTCGGGCCCAGAAAGAAGAAGGTGAAGACCCCATACATACCGCCGTCGGAGAAGGACTTATTCCAGTACAGTGGACGGACGGCCAGGCAGCTGCACCAGGCAAGTGTAGATAGTTTGGGAATTCAGGGAATTGGATCCACAAATAGGTGGTTCCTAGGTTAAATTGGCAAATACTGTACAGTATATAGTAAACGCTGGCTCCCCCACCCAGCAAGGAGATATAGTTTGTTAGAGGTGTTATTTATTACTTTTACTTTACTTTTATCCTCTTCGCCACTGATAGGCTCATTAACCACTGATGATAACCATTTCTTGTGCAAATGTTTCATTTTGAGATATGACCTCTTAAGGTGGTGGCACACTGGGCACTCTTCTCCAAACATGTTGCCTGTTTTACTGGCCGCTGGCCTGACAGCCCAATAATCTGCCAAAGAATGTTGTGATGGCACTGAATTTGAGCTCATTCAAAGCCGGACTTGACCAGCACTGGTGCAGGTTCTAATATATTCAGGAGTCAGTGCATGCCCAGTACTAGCCAACAGTGCGTATCAGAGACGTGACCGACCTCCCAAGCGGCTAACGAGCCGATCAGTGGCGAAGAGGATAAAAGTAAAGGTAAAGCAAGCTGCAGGATTTCGGCTGTTGTGAGAAGTACTTTTATCCTCTTCACCACTGATCGGCTCGTTAGCCGCTTGGGCGATCGGTCACGTTTCTGTTACGCACTGTTGGAAAGTACTGGGCATGCACCGGCTCCAGTGTTGGTCATGTCTGGTCTGGAAAGAGCTCACACTCGGTGCCATCGCAACACTTTCTGGCAGATTGTTCCAAGAGTTCACAACTCTCACTCCGAAAAAGTTTGCCCTCACAGTTTTCTGGACCTGCGGCTTCTTCAATCTTGAGCTGTGACCCCTTGTGGGGCAGGCGTCCGCCAGCTCCAATTAAGGACACTCGACTGAGTAGTGCCCCCTTGGGATGCTTATACACCTCATTTAGGTTCAGGCGCTCCAATCTCTCAGGGTAGTTGAGGTGCCAAAGTGCAGTGAGCTCTGCTGGCTGGGTTATTGCTCAAATGAGTTTCATATTAGATGGGGAATACCGATATACAAGTAAAAATTGAAATAAATCATGAAACAATAATAATTTAGAATATAACACGTAAAACAGTGACATGTGTCTATTTATTCGTCACTTTAAAGCTTCTTTAGTACAGTATTATCAAAAGCAGTAGATATTTTGCCGTGACTGGCTAAGCTCCCACTAACGCTATTTTAACGTAGGTGCGCTCTAATTGACAATCATCCATTACCAGTGATTAACGCGAGAGTGATGTGACTGCGACTGGCGGCATTTGGCATTTATTTTGCCATGAGTGGATCGTTTTGTAGCTATAAGCATACCTAACCAGAAGGAGTTGTTTTATTTTGTGAATTTTTCCCACAGATGTTCTTATCATTACAAAAGAGGTGACATTTACTAGAACCTAATATAACCTGACCCAACCAACCAAAGAAACCTACCTAACCTTACCTAACTTCCTAGCTGGGGGCAGAGCCCAAGTCATATTAAACAGAAAGTACTTAGCCAATCAGAGTGCACTCACGGTAAAATAGCGTTAGTAGGAACTTAGCTGGTCTCGGCAAAATATCCACTACGATTATTAAATAAATTTTCAGGTTCTTTTTTGACCAACCAGCCGCCGCCGCCACTTTTAAACAAACTTTACGACACACCCAGTGTCTTTTCTTTAGCTTTTGCAGATGCCTCACTTCAGCAATTGAAGAACTATAGCACAATCCTGTAAGGCCTTAACTGTAGTAACTGGATCCATGGCGAACCTTATTTAAATGCTTTTTTGTTGTTTTTGCTGCTTTGGGTAGACATGCTAACAAAACATCCTAGTGTGATGCAAACGTCTCTTTTTGTTGGCCGGACTGTGTTTGCCCAACATGTTAAAAGGAAAAGTGCCCAGTTTGCCACTGCCCTTACTCCTTTAATATTTGGAAAGCAGGGATGTCTCACAGCTTTCTAGTTACCTGTTGTCTGTTTCTGCCTTTTTTTTCTTTTCTTTTTTTTCTTTTTTTTTCAGAAAAAAATAATTATCTATAAAAATACTAAATGCCTCGCAGCTAATGCCCGTAGGACTTTGCTTGGTACTATAACAATAACACTTGGATTATTCCTGCTCGTTATGGCAGTGGCATACCCAGAAATTTGCCAAGGGGGGATGAACTTTGAACTAAATATACCAAGGTAGTATTGTTGAAATACGAGATAATTAATATTTTTTCTACATCCATGGTGAGCTTACACTCAATTAATGATATTATTAATTTTATTTATTTTGTTATCATTATTATATTATATCTTTTCTTGTTAAAAATGGTTTACATGGAATAATTTATTAGCTCAAGGGGGTATCACCCCCGTTGCCCCTCCTTCTGTATGCCTGTGTGTCATTGTACCCTGCCTGAACACAAAAGCTAAAATCTAGGTTACAAATTGTTCAAAACATGAAGGTGAGGTTCATTCTTGATTGAAGGCAAGAGATCATATTTGTCACGAAGTCTTAAATCATTGGACATGTTACTCATGGCAGTTACAGTGAAGCAACTGGGGCTGAATCACTCTTACAGGATCTTCAGTGAACTGTTAAGTTAGGTTAGGTTGAGTTAGCTTAGGTACTGGTATAGTTTCTTTTAAAGTTATAAATACAGTATATAACATTAAAGATTACTGGAGACCTCATGTATTATACAGTGCAGTATTTGTGCAGTTATTTCTGCCACAATATTGTTGGGTTGATAAAAAAAAATTATTTATATTTTGTACTGTATTGTTGTACTGTATACATTATAATATACTGTTTACATATTATGAAACCCAAAACTACACATGGAACACCATAAATTTAACATAAATATCATAAACATGACATATATCTTGTGAGAGCAGGGTATCTGGCTATGCAAGCTCTTGTGTTAAATAGCAAGCTCTTCTTTTAATGTTAGAAGCATACAGTATACTGTATGTACTCCTTTTATACCTCCTGTATTTGGTTCAAGCTTGCTGTGTATGGACATTGTCCCTCATGGCTAATACAGTAATATCTCCGTTAGCTAGAATCCCTCAAACCTGGAACTCTCCGATAGCCGGAATTGAAATTTCTCTGAAAATTCAAAGAAAATTTACCCAATACGTACTTGAAAAATTCCGGGGATGGGGGAGTTTTTTCTGGGTTTGAGAGATGAAAAACAGGCATATTTTCCAGAAATTCTGAGAAAAATTCCCTGGATGGGGGTTAGTTTTCCGGGTTCGATGGATGATGTAATGGGCAATTTCTGGAACTTCCGAGAAAATTTTTCCCGTTGCCTGAAAAATTCTGAGGATGAGGGATATTTTTCTGGGTTCGAGAGATGATGTAATGGGCAATTTCTGGAACTTCTGAGAACATTTTCCACTACCCGGAAAATTCTGGAAAATTCCGGGGATGAGGGATTTTTTCGGCTTTGAGAGATTCATCTCATTACCTGGAAATCTCTCATTCCAGGAAGTGCTCTGCACCAATTGTTCCAGCTAATGGAGATATCACTTGTACAATCATTGTAGGATCTGTGGCTCGGAGTAAAGCATTTGTTATTAAAACTTTCTTTGCAGGATGGTGTTCAAAGTGGAACAGCAGCTCAGAGTGCATCTAGGGTGAGGCGAGGAGGTGCGTTGGAGTCTGGCGTCGTGGGGCGTGAGGAACACCTGGGTCCACCTCGCCGCAGACGTACTTTACTGTCCAACACACAGCCACAGACAGCTACAGACTACCTCCTAGCAGCCCGTACCACAGCAAGGGATAAGGTCAGTCCCATTACAAGGGATAAGGTTAAATATCATGTTCCTTGTTACAACATGATGGGATTTTTCCAGTATGTTCAATGCTTAGTTAGGGGGAGTAAGAAAAAACTAATGTACTGTAAATACGTATATGGCAATAAAGGGAATTTCATCAGAACAAATGTTGCAGCCATGTCAACAAACCTGTAGATATGGGGTTTATGATGCAAATTAATAATGACAAATCAGCCATAAAATAAGCTAAAGTTAAGTTCGATTGGTTTGTATTGCACACTGGTCATTAATTATATGTGCAGTAGACTCATTAGAGGATTGTTAACATGATAGGGAGCTTCACAGCGTGAATATATGATTACGTGTATATAGTACATTATTTATATAAGTTTACATGAAAGTTTTTGTTTTTTGGTAATTATTGGATTTGTATTCCATAAAATACTTTGAAATAAACATACCTGTATTCTATACTGTATTTCATTGTAAGATTATGCTATAACGTATAGTACTATATATGCTTTTTGTTCTGGGTGTGTTTCCTTACTCTATTATCATGCTCAATATTTAATTCCCAACTCAGAACCTAGCAAGAGTAGCCGAGGTTGAGTCACAGCGCCTGGAAAAGGAGCTACAAAGTGAGAGGGCCATCAACAGTGACCTGGAGTCACAGTTACAGTACCATGAAGCAGCATTACAGGAGTTCCTTCAACATCATTATCGCCAAGTGACTGAAGCTTTAACAAAGTAAGTGTTATGTTTATGGTCTAGGCAAGCCTAGCATTAATATGAAAATCTTTTTAGTTATCCTGTACAGTATAGTACTGTATTGTCTGTTAGAAAGCACACATATTGTAATGAGTACAATACTGCATCTGTACTTTATACTTTCTTGGTTCATCACAGAACTAAACAGGTGATGTTTGAGTTACTTTGGGAGACATTACTAGGGATGTACACTACTGTAGTACACTGCAGTTTTAAGATATTGCTTGACATGGAAAATGTAAAGTAGGGTTCACAGTTAGCCATTAAATTATTACTTCCACTGATGAAATATCAAGCTGAATGAATACTGTCTGTGATTACTCTTTTATTATTTGATATTATAACATATGGTTTATTGTCAAGACCTTCCTTCCATTGAAGTTATGCAAAACAAATAGTGGTTTGCCTCACCCATTAAGCAGGATACATTGAGGGAGTACATATTGTACAATAATGCACACAATGTTTAGGTAAGTGTGTTAAGGAATCCAGTTCTCTTCTCTGATATATGGTCACACCTGGAATCCTTTGTGTTTGAGGGAATGCATTAGTGTGGAGCCAGAGATCCGAGGGTAGGTTTTCATATTTAAGTATGAGAATTTCAAAATATTTTAGGCTATTCACAATGCAAATGCCAGTCTAAACCAACAGAGGTGATACAGCTCGGCGTAACTTAACAGAGCAGGAGTTACGCATAGACTACTTTACTGGTTTGCTAACTGAGGCACAGACAGTTCAGGAAGAGGAAGAAGAGCATTTGCAAGAACTTACAGCATTTCAGCAGTTTCTGGCAGCTGTCACTCCATCACAGTCACTAAAAGATCTCAAGAGAAGGCTCCAGGAAGTGCAGGATGAAGTTAAGGTATATACTTTGGCATATAGAATTTATATTTTATCATTTATTCCTCTTTACCAACTGACTCAAAGAGTGGAGAGATACACAAGTCTGGGTGTGTCTTCCCTGTAACTATTAATAAGAAAGTATGAAATTTTTATCTTTGTATTCATGAGTGAAATGTATTAAACTACACATTATTAATAAAGTAAATTTTAAATGTCAATTAATTGGTTCATGAATAATAAATTATAAATGTTAAATATTTACCTGGCAGGCCTCCCATGGAGCGGTGGGACACATTGAAGGCTCTGATGATGCCACATCTTCTAGCTCTATCGATTTTGCTCTTGCAGCCTCACTTGTGGCTGCTGGTAACAATGAAATTATCTCATCTGCTGGTAAGTCACACTGCCTAGTTACCAATTTCTTATAATACAGTGATCCCTCGGTTAAGGAGCGCCTCGGTTAACGAGATTTCGGTTAACGATTTACCTTCCATAAGATTCTTAACTTCGGTTAACGAGCAATCCCTCGATTAACGAGTTTTTTACGAGCCAACTTCAACATGTTTTCGCTTGCATTTGGCGGTCCACCAGCTATAGTATTAGTCCGCCAATACAGTAATCTGTTTTAGGGCTTAAATTCCTTACTATTTTGGTAAATATCAAGAAGTTTATACTATTCATTAATTTTAAAAGTTTAATATTAACTTTTTTAGTCATTTTAACAATTATTGAACATAATTGAAGGTAAAGAAACTAGTTTCTGGTGAGCCATCCAGCCTGTTAACACACCAGACAAATGTTAGTCTCTCTCTGTTTTCAGTGGAGGTAACATCTTGCTTGAGACTCTCTTCAACTAAATGCTTTTTTTCTGTGTTTCCAAGCAAATTATTGGTCATTTTGAAATTTATTTTACATATTGACAATATATAATGCGGTGCAGTGTTGATTTAAAGAAAATAATCTTGAATTACACCAAGTGAACTAAAATTTTATGGGTGAAATGGCGCCATGGGGTGACTTCTCTTCCACCCCAATGCCTTCTCTTCTCCCTTCTCCTCCACCCCCATTCTAATTCCCACCATCATCATCATCATCCAGGAGCCTTCTACATACACACCTCAAAGTAAATGTACTTTTCTACCTTTTTTGTTGAATTTAGGCAATTTTCGGTGAGCTGGAACCAATTACCCAAAAACCCACTGAAACAATGGTTTCGGTTAACGAGTTTTTCGGTTAACGAGCAACCTGCTGGAACGGATTGTGCTCGTTAACAGAGGGATCACTGTACTCTATTTCTTATTGTAACTTAAGTTCTACAGTACACATATTTTAAGTGTCTGTCTTAAGATAAGATAATTAAAAATTTTTAATTAAACTAAGTCTGTATCATAAAAAAATGTTTTAATCTTAATTTATTGGTACTTTATAACTTACCCTAACTATATACTGTACTGTAATCTAATCAGAATTCTTATCCTAACCAAACCCACATAATCGAACTTAGCTTCCTAGCCTAATGTAACTTCCTGGACACTCTGGTATGTTAGCCATTACTAAAGGCATCCTTTGATGATACAGTAGTTTGTTCTTTATTTCATATTCCTGGTGGTTTAATCCTTTAGTCACTTTCTGTAGACAGCAGGATGCAAACACATTTAATGCTAGTGACCCTCAGTAGGAACATCCTGGTCATTGCCCCAAAAATTTTGAATGTTGATGTATTAATAATCCAGATGACATTTTATGTACAGCATTACTGTATTTGCTACAATAAGTAGAGTTGCATTTAGGTTGTTGTTTTGGTAAGAAAGTAAAGGAAAATGGGTACACTGTATATTGAATATATCATACTTACATTTTTATAAATTTCCTTTTTAAACATGGGCCTAATTCAGTTTGATGAGGTGTCCAACTGAAATGCTGTAGTATATTTTCTTACTGTTTCTTATTTACAATGCATAAACGGTTTCCCATGTTTCACACAGTGCTAAAGGCAAAATCTATTCCACACAAAACATGGACTTTTTTAAAGGCATCATTCACTGTTATCATTACCAATCTTGGTTGACTTCTACTTGCTGAGAGAACATTTGATCAGCTTTTATTGAGGCAGTTTTTACCATTTTTTTATCACACTTTTTTAACCCTTTCTGTGTGGCTTCCAACCTTCATCCATATTAGGGTTTACTGTGGGGATCGACTTCAAACATTTTCAAACTTAATACCTACAAGCTTGTGCCAATTTTGCTTTTATCATGATGGATTGTTAACATGGACCCCGTAAGATTTACTAGTATGAAAGAAAATGGAGATTCAGTTTCTACTCAGTAGTCTTGTCAAGTAGGTATATATAGTGCTTGCATGAGAAATGGTAAAATATTAGAACTTTTGGATGGCTCACTTCCGAATGCAGGTAAAGTTTTTTTTCCATAGTTGTTTTGGTATATTTTAAATATTTTGTAATGGCAATTGTTACCCAAAACTGAGCATATTTTTTTTTCCTGTTCAGAAGATGCAGGTTGTGCTTCCTGCCTCAAGAAAAGGGTTGATTGTAGAGAATACTGTACTGTACTCCTATTCTGTAATGAGAATTCCTTCTCTACCTTATGGAACTTGTGTTCTTTTTAGGTGAGGGAAGTGGAGGAGGAACATTGGGAGCCGACCTGATGTCATTACGTATGATAAAGCCAGGAAATGCCCCAAGTCGATCCCCCTCCAGGACAGGATGCACTCTCTCTCAAAGTATGTCATCAGAGGACATTCAAGACTTCATGACCACATCTCAAGAGGATTCAGATACCTGTGATGCTGGAGCCTTTGGTAAGTTGATGATTATCTCGAGATATAATTTGAGCTAGCTGGCTGAGAATTTTCTGACCAGGTTACACTGAATAAAATTTAGGCTTAATTTTTGCTCCTTTCATTATGTGATGAAACTTACATCTGTGCTGTACATAAGATGTTTGTATTTTGAAACAACAAAAGTAAGAATGAATTCACATCCGATAATAGAGATGAGACCAAAAGATTATTGGATGTTTATTTTATTTTCCTGGCATATTCAGATTCTGCAGATCACTCTTTCTCAGTAATCACTTTAATTATGTTGGATCAAGTTGTTTCATGATGCCCAGTTTTTTAGTTTGTTATAATTATTTCATGAAATTGATGATTGAAGAGATGTTTTAGGTCCTGTTGTGGAAAGTGAACACCAAAGTAGAACACGTCTGGTAAGGCATCTCGATGAAATGAGGGATAGAGAAGAAAGAGGTTAATTTAAAATCCATTTTGCTGCATAATTCCCACCATATATTGATATCAGAATTGTTTTTCATAGGATTCTTCTATACAAAAAGTGTCCTGTCCGACAGATGAGTTCCTTGATGATGATGGTCATTTGGTGGATCTGGCCAGTGTGTATGAGAATCAGTGCCATGCCCTCCTGGCTCTTCTCACCAGGTAATGGATATACCTGTACAATATTTATTTATGTAGTTATGCTTCTGAAATTAAAAAAAATTAGATTATTTGCTGAGGAAAGAGGGCCATATTGGAAGTAATTACTGTTTTACTAATGCGAATGTGTTATCCTCGGTAAATGTTTATACAGTACAGTACAATATACAGGTATGTGCCCTATGCATGTACTGTAGAAATTTTTACTCAGTAAATTCAAATCAAATCAAGTCATACATAGCAGAGCTGTTGTTCATTCACCATACAGGTGGACACAGTGGTAAAATTCTTAAATACAGTAGGTAAATAATTCAGGATTGCTGATTTAAACCAATGGTTTAAATCAAACAAAAACCATTTTTTATGATCTCTGCCATTTTCATTGGTTTAAATATTTTTATTATTATTATTACAGTATTATTTCCAGATGGTATTAATTATTTATAGTAATATCTCCGTTACCCGGAATCTCTCAAACCCGGAACTCTCCATTAGCCGGAATTGAAATTTTCTTGGAAAATTGTTCCTAAAGCCGGAATTTTCCGGAAAAATGTGGCTTTGGGAATGATTTTCTGAGGGGCACATTTTCCGGAAAATTCTGAGAAAATTTTTCCGATATCCGGAAAATTCCGGGGATGGAGGAGTTTTTTCCGGGTTTGAAAGATGAAAATCAGGTGTTTTTTCTGGAAATTCTGAGGACAAATTTTCCTGTACCCAAAAAATTCCAGGGATGGGGGATATTTTTCCGGGTCCTAGAGATGATGTATTGGATAATATCTGGAACTTCCGAGAACATTTTTCCATTACCTAGAAAATTCCGGGGATGAGGGATTTTCCAGTTCTGAGAGATGATGTAATGGGTAATTTCTGGAATTTCCAAGAACATTTTTCCGTTACCAGGAAAATTATGTCATTCCCGGAAGCGCTCTGCACCAATTATTCCGGCTAACAGAGATATCACTGTAGTAGACTTCCATTACCACTGATACTTAAAGGACTGTCACTGTTAAATTTTAAAATCAAATTTGAAGCTATGACCAAGCATATGCATACAGCCTACTTCATAATATGGTTAACTTCTTGACACTACATCTTGAGGTCACGTACCCAGACAAAAAAGGACTTCCCATGTATTTTAATGCTCCTTCATCCTGCCATGTTCAGCTCCTACTGCTATTTTTCACAGCTGCCATTGCTCTAGGCTTTTTTGGTAATTTAATGTTACTCTTATATACAGTATTCTCTTTTAAGTTCAGTCTGTCACCTTTCTTTTAACATGTAATAGTTATTGTTTATAAACAGATACCAACTTTGTATTATCAATAATAAGAATTGTTAACTACAGTATACAAGATACAGTATAAAAAAAATTGTTACAAGACAAAATTTATTTCAAGAAAGGTAAATTATCAAATTTATAAATGAATAAATCATAAGTCCTTAAAGTAAATTCTAATTACAGTAAACATATTCTTGTATTATTTAGCAGTGAAAACTATACTGGTACCTGCTACTTGGAACAGAGTTCAATCACATTTTACTTGAGCTTCACTTTAAATTTATTAAAACCAATGTAATACTGTAGCCTAAAAAAAAAATTGGGGGTTAAAAAAAATTCCAACCCTGAAATAACTACATTTATCTCTCAGTCTGGGGCCTTAGGGTAGCTTAGGTCAGTTGTTTCCCTAAACATTTCTGGATCCTTTCTCTACTGACTCTCAAGCCACAACTTAAATTTTTATTCCTCTACTTTTTTGTATAGTTTAAGATCTTGTTGTGTAAGAAGTTTGCATGAAGTATTCACAAAAGATTTTATTAAATTACATTCATATAAATTTGGAAAATAATATTAGAATGTTTTTCTTCATACCCTTGCAGAATTTGGTAATCATGAGAATACACAAAAGTCGACCAAATATTCATGAGGAAAATTTTTAAACTGGTTTAAGGCATAAAGTATGTTATTGAGCTACATTTTAATTACACTCTTACATATTCATCTCCCATGCCACTGGTTGACTCACTAGCCAGTCTGTCATTTCTCTGTTATGTACCATTGGCAAGTATTGGACATGCACGGACTCTTGATTGTAACTGAACGTGCACCGGTGTTGGTCAAGTCTTAAATGAACTCTTAATACCATCACAACATTCTCAGGCAGTTTGTTAAAAAATGTGTTAACTCTTACTCCAAAGAAGTTTGCTCTGAGAAATCAAGAAGTATTTTAAACTTTTTAACAACATTCTTGCAAAAGTTGATTGATGAAATTATGGAAATTTTGGTAAAAATACTCTAAAGGGAATTACATACTGTATATCAACACTCAGATTGAAGGACCATACAGAAGCCATCAACAAAGAAGTGGTTACTCGTCAGAAGAGGCTAGACACACGCCTTCAAGATATCCAGCAGCTGCAGGAAAAGGCAAGAGGGGGAGGGCATGAAGAGCAGCTGCAAGATCTTCGTACCCTCATTGGTGAATGGCCAAGATTATCTGGAGATGCTGAGGCCCAGAATCAACTTGATCAGCTTGTTGCACAGGTAAGACTTGCAGTACAGTAGCGATTGGACTTTTAAAGTGCATTTCACAAATTTATCTTTATCATAGGGAACAAGTCACTGATACCACAGCAGAATAATGAAAGGATCAAGAGGCTCTCCAAGATTTTGAACAACAAGTTGCCCGTGATAGAAATACAATTCCTGAAATCTGTCATGCCAGTGTTAAACTCTACAGCATCAACTTCGAATGAAATGAAACTACTTGAAACCTCCACATATTGGATATGAAATTCAAATTCACTCTAGAGATATTTGTCAGCTGACAAGATTTCCGAGATGGATGTCAAGACAGTCCACAGTGGGGCAAGAACCATCATCAAATTGTCTGTCTTGGCATTGTTGAAAACTTTTCCATTGAAGAATGTCATCCTTCAGGACCTCCAAGTGGTCCGTCCTATTGCTAGGATATCCAATTGGTCAGTTGGAACTATGCAACAGTTAGCTGTGACGTTTAACTTTTTCCTTAAGATAAAATAGACAATTTTATCAATGAATGGAAGCTAGGTGTTTCAAGTTGAGCAGTTACCTGAAGAATAGGACTTACTTCCAGTTCAGGTGGCAGATAAAGGAGTCAGTGAAGATGAAATTAGTTCAGAAACAGCAAATGATAATGCACATTCTGGCAAATTGATCAGCTTATTGAGGATATATAGGTCAAGATTTTTAACAGTAAATTAATAATCTAAAAAGTATCCTACCCTTGAAATGCTTGTCAGTATCTGTCTTGACTATCATATGGCAGTGCTGATGTAGAGAGGTCTTTCAATGACAATAAAACTGTGATGACTTCTGCAAGAACTTGAATGTCAGATGAAACTTTGAATATAAAGTACAGTACAGTGAGTTCTGCTATAACGCGTGTTTTGATAACGCGAATTTGCTCTAACGCGATTTATGAATTAGGAACGATATTTGTATAACGCGAACGCTTGTTTGCTATAACACGATTTTTGCTTACTATTTCTCCAATTTTGTGGTAACTGTGAATATAGTAAAGAAGAATATCAACAAGAAGCGTTCTGGTGATAGAATTCCCAGTGATGATCGTAAAAGAAAGGATATAACACTTGAAGAGAAGCTCGATTTTATCAACCTCAAAATCACCCTTCTCCCCCATCAAGTAAAGTGTTACATTTACTGTATGATTTCATTATTAGATATGAATGTAACATTTATTTAGACTGTGCTATCCTTTGTGTTAGGCTAACTACTAAATTTTTCGATTTCGAGTAATCTGCACCTAACCCTATTTTCTCCATAAGCCGTTATTTCTATTACGCGATTTTCTATAACACGATATTTTACAAGAACACAATTATCGCGTTATAGCAGAACTACCTGTATATAGAAAAATATCTTCTTTCATGGGGAAGTGCGAGAACAAGCCAGAATTTATAACAATAACTCCTGCACTGTGTAAAGTTGTTAGAAATGTTCAAACAAAATATGATCAAAGTGTACAGTAGAAGCTCAGGAAAAATAGCTGACAATGGAAAAATGTCAAGAGACAGTCCAAGTACAGTACTACAAATTGCAATTCATTCCTTACAGAGCAAAAAATTTATATTTTGTCAATATTCCCTGTACATGTTTGCAGTGATGAAACATTGACATTGCTTCATTCAGTGATACCTTAATTTTTTTCATTGACTATAAAATTTCCATATTTATTAGAATTTATAACTTAATGAATACTGTATGAATCATTTTGATCTCATTCACTTTTGAGATTCACTAGGTATCCTCTTCCAGATCGGCCTTTAGCTGCTTATGTGGTCGGTCAGCTCTCTGTTACACACTGTTGGTAAGTACGTAGTAAAGCAGTTTTGAAAGAAACAATTTTACCCAGTGTGCCCTCTCTGTTTTCTGGACTTGTGGCTTCTTCAACTTTGAGCTGTGACCCCATGTGGGATGGGCATCTGCCAACTCCAGGTATGTACATTCAACCAAGTAGTGCCTTATATACTTTTAATTAGGTCGCCCCTGTCCGGTCTGTATTATAAGCTAGGCAGTTGCAGGTGTTCTAATCTCTCAGGGTAGGTGAGGTTCTTTAGAGCAGAATCTGGTGGCACTCCTTTGGGCATTTTCAATCAATTGACAGTCTCTAAATCATACTAGTGTTCATACCTGGAGCTGACAGACACCTGCCCCCACTAGACATCACAGCTTAAGGTTGAAGAAACCACAAGTTCAGAAAATTATAAAACTTTTTCAGAGTTGTGAACTTTTGGAACAATCTGCCAGAGAGTGTTGCCATGGCACCAAGTGAGTTCATCCAAGAATACTTGACCAACACTGGTGCAGGTACAGATACATTCTGGACCCAGCACATGCCCAGTAATCAAGCCCCCTATTACTACTAACACAGTATAATTTGTATGGTTATACAGTATCATGTATAAATTATGTTTTGTCTTCAATTCATGATTTCATAAAGAAATATTGGGTTTTCAAATAGTATATTTATTGAAAACAATATTAAGATAGCTAAATGTTTCATGAATTAAAACATTTTCTATGGCCAAAAGTATAAAGAAAAAAAGCCGGTTCATACCCTCATTGTCATCGGTGGCCCAAATTGGTGGGTGGCTGACAACTAGTAGTCCAGAGTGTTAAGAAGGGTACTGCACTTAAGAAGCACCACAAGAACAAAAATAAGGAGGTTAAAATGGTAAGAGAGAAAGTTGTGAAATGAAATCTGATAAGAAGAAAGACAGGTGAAAGGGATCAAAGTGTTTTATATTTGATTGCTATAGTTCATTTATACTCTGGTTATATATGATCTGATGGGTAAACAAGTACATTTTCAGGTCTTTTAATGGAAGGGTACCATAGCAGAACACATTTAGAAAGGTAGCAAGAGAACAAATGACAGCAAATGTGGGAGAGTTTAGAACTGCTTCTGATTCTAGTTATTTTTTGTTAATTGAGAAAATGATTGCAATACAAGGGAGGGAGAACACATCCCCAACTTGAAGACTTGAACAACAGGCAAATAAGGGCATAAAAGGTCAATTCTAGAGGGATAAAAATCAGTACAGTAATTGGATTGTTAAGAGTTTTCATAATTCATCTCTACAGATAAGATGTAGTTTTGTGACAGTAAAAAATTGTCAACAGAGGTGTAAATTGTTGAACACGTTAGTTTTAGAAGTTAATATAGCATATGCCAAGAAGAGAGAATGACTTAAGGAGGAAATCTGAAGGGGAGAATTACAAAGGAGTTTCTGACAAAGCAGAGACTTAACTGCTAACATTTTGGCTGTGTGGAGAAATGGAAAAGGGAAGAAGGCTGAAAACAAGGTGAAGACAGAAAGGAAAAAGAAGATAAGAAAGGATGCTGCTGATAATGACTACAGTTTAGGGAAGGGAAGCGGTGTAGGATTGTACTGTAGCTGGAGGGTCTTCAGTTGGTGGTGTTTGATAGTTTCCACCCACTCATGGTTAGGGATAGAGGGAGGCAGAGTTGCATCATCCACCTCACATAAAATTTTGTACAGTACTGTATTCACCATGTTAAGCAGAATACAGTACTGTACATGCCTTTATTGAGGCTCATAAATGTGAAGGCCAACTGTATTGTGCATGCTCTGATCTTTGCCTGTAACTACCTTGTAATGTGAATTCCTTCATATTATCTGTGACAACTGTAAATTCTGACATCATTGCCTTTAACCACTCTGAATTCCTTTAACTTTGGCATTAAGCATTTTACTGACTTCTGTATGTAACTGTATTCTCCTGAAACATTCCAGATTGCAGAAGTGGTGAGTGATGTGTTTGGGTCAAGTGAGTACTCCCCACTTGTACCTCAACCCCCCCAAGCAGAGACAAACCAGAAGAAACAAGTCCCAAAGGTTACTACTGAACTAGATGTAATTACTGTTTGTTACCTAAGTATGGTAGTATGAATAGTTTTTTCTAATGATATTACCTCATTGAATAAGGATAAGGTAAAAACTATCTTCGGTATATCTTTGTGTTTGTGTGTGTGGGAATAATTGATACAGAACGGTTCTGGGTTTAAGAGATTTCTGGGGAATTGAGACAAATTCTCTCATCCCTGAATTTTCCAAGTACTGTAATGGTGAATGTTTCTACCTAAACTATTCATCACCGCACAGAGTGGCTTAACTGCAGTCAGACAGACACAGAGCTGTATTTATTTATGCAAACACCACTGTACACATCCAATATATTGTAAATAAACAAAATACATTACATATATTCTATACTCACCAGCAAGTGCTGTTGTCTTGAGCTTGTGTTGCAGGCAGGCCAAATGGTGATGTGATGATACAGGATTAATCAGTGTTTATGTCTTAACACTGCTTTAACCATATTCTTGGCTGATTGTAACCTAATACAGTAATGTACAGTACTGCACAACACAGATTGCATGCAAAAACAGCAGCGAGTGAGGGAACAACCTGGTACAGTGGCAGCGGTCTACGAACTAGTGCATTATGATGCTAATGGAGAGATTACTGTACAGTAAGTTCTCGTATAATGTCGGTCCGCTTAACGTTGTTTCGGTACTAAGTTGCTCATCTTTAGATACCAAAAATTTGTTTAATGTCCTGATTACTCAGTACAACGTCATTTTGCATGTCAAGGAATACTTTACGGGCGCATCACCCTCTCTTGTCTGGCCGCGATATTTGGCTCGGCAGTCTCAGTGACTCGCCACCCTCCTCCTCTCCCCGCCTCCCTCCGCCCTCCCCTCCTCCGCCTCCCCCCCACCTCTCCCACCTCCACCTCCCACCCTCCTCCTCCTCTGCTCCCACCATACTCTCCCTCCTGCCATACGCCTCCTTCGCTTCACTAGCCACCACACACCGCCTCCACCACCTTTGCCCATCGGTGAGGACCAATACAAAGTTAGTAGTTGTATATGTTTGCACTATTTTCATGGAAATGGCAATGATTTTCTGTATATGTAATGTATTTCATGGGGCAAAGGAATTCTCAGGAACGCAACTCCCGTATTTTATCTATTTCTTTTGGGGAAAATTGATCCGCTCAATGTTGTTTCGTATAACGTCGCGTTTTTAGGAACGTAACCCCGACGTTAAGCGAGGACTTACTGTATTAATATAGGTCAGGCCATCTCAGTACACAGCACTGCAAAATAATTTCCTATCTGTCTTACCGCACCTGACTATGAGACTAAACTCGTCTCATTGGATAGGAGTCAGGAGCACAACCTACTTAGCCATGGAGCTCCCCTCCCCATTTTCAATACAGTAGATCCTCAATAGAAAATGACTCAGTAGAATGCCTGCCTATAGTTTATACCAAAATTACAATAGAAAACAGTGGGTTTAGATAGAGTTGTTAGAGTTGTTAGTCAGACTATAATTTCTCTTGAGAATGAATTGTTCCAGTAGAAAGTTTTGAGTCATAGACAAATACAGTAAGGGTCAAAGGACAGCAGTCAAAAAAAAAAAAAAAAATTTTTTTACCAGGAGTAACTAATTAAACTTATAAACTGCTTGAAGAAGCACAGTGAAAGGCACACCAAGATTGCTACTGGAAATTTTTGTGGCGCATACATTGATTTTGTGCATTGTAGAATTGTAGGATAATTATTTATGAGAGTTTCAAGCCTTTATTTCTTAATTTAATTTCTTTTGTGGGGGATAATGGAAGAATTCCTTATTTTTCCGACACCGTAGTTTACTTATAAAAAAATATTCACCCAAGTTTTTGTAGAAAATTTACCAAAAAAATTTTCACGTCAATATTTTAGCAAATACTCCGAGAATAATAAGCCTTACTTGAAAGCAATTTCAGCAATGAAAAGTTTGTGGAATAATAGAAAGACTGTTAATTACTTTATTTCTTTATTCATAAACCAGCAGCAGCAGAAGGCAAGCACATTCCTGCACAGGAGACAACTGGTGACCCAGGAAATGAACCTACAGTGAGTGCTGGGATGGGACAAGAGGCCTTACTGGCATTACTGGAGGCACGAGTTACCGACTTGTGTGCCCAGCTTGACAACATTGACCCAGCCCTTAGAGATGCCATTTTCCTGGTGAGAATAAAGGTTACCTGTGTATATTGATTCTATTTGTGTAGCTTCAATAAAACATAAAATGATTAGGGAACAATTTTCTATATATGTTGTGCTTGTCTGATGCAATGTTTTTACCTTGATGAGCATTAAAGGAAGACAACTGTTTACCAGAAACATTGTTCGGCACCATTGCCAACATTTGAGTGTTCAAAGCAGCAATGCCATGCCCCCAGCCACTAAATCCACCTCAATTGGAGAGCATCATATTGTATTCCCTGTGATTATTTTTCCACCAATTTTTCAAAAGACCTCAACCATGAGTGGAAAATGTTTTTCATGTATTCCTGCAATTACACTTGGAAAGGTGTTTGCAATCTTCATTTTTTTTCGGGCCTGATGCCCTAACATATTTAAGTCACATAAGTCTCTGCTGGTACTCCTAACTCTCTGCTAGCACACTTAAGTCATCTGTTTTAGATAAGACCCTATGCACAAAACAATTTAAGTGTGCTAGAGTCTGGGAACTTGGACACTTAAATTTTACCTGATGGTAGCTTTCCATGCTTCATGGTCTCTTCCAGCCTATCTTGTTTGATTCTTAACTCTCAATCCCCATGTCATCCTTGGCCTGCCCCTGGCTCTCCTCCACATTTAGACTCGCGCAGCTCTTGACCAGTTGGTCTCATATATTCTCTCCATATGCCTAAACCATCTCAGTCTATCTTTATGCAAAACTTGCCAATGCTCTCAATATCCTCTTGGCTCTGAACAGGGTTTGCTGTCTTTCAGTGTCTTATTACCCATTCACCTCACCAATCTCTTTTCAGTTCACTCAAGCCTGCATATGTCATTTTCTTCAATTGTTTGTTTCATTACCATGCAACATAACACATCTTGTGCCAGTTGCATACATCTTTCCTTTCTTGTGGAGTGAAGGTCCTTTTGCTGTCAATAAAGGCAGCCATCCACTTTTGGCTCCTGCAATTGTGCTGGCTTCAGCACCCCCACTAGCACTGATTGTGTTACCTTCCACATTCATTTTCATATCATAGAGTTGTTGCCAATACCTTTCTTACACACAACACATGGCCATTTTTCCACATTAAATTTCGTTAACTGGTGATTTTACTTAATTTTCTTAAGATAAACATGTTTTACTGCTGCGCACATGCACGCGCGCACACACACACACACACACACACACACACACACTTGGTAAAATTAAAGGATAGCAGTGCTGTGGATTGAAGTAGTGAGTGAAATTTGCTGAACTGTAGATACAGTTATGTATTCTTCAAGGGAACTAAATAATTTGTTTTTTTATTCTCACATCATATTTATCATGGCATACTGATTACAGAATTGTGAACAAGCCCGCCGAGCTCGTCTGAAAGAGGAAAAGCGACAAGAGGCTGAAATGCGTCGGGCTGAACGCAAACAACGTCATCTAGAACGTGCCATGGCTGAGCCTCCACCTAAACCTTTATAATTTATATATGGACCATGTTTGCACTTTAATTTTAAACAATATTCTGCATGGTCCAACCTCCTGGTTAACAAGAGTCCTGTCAAAATAATAGAATTGTACATCAGCAGTTTATAAGGTAATTTGTAAAATATCACTTCGGCAAGATTCTACGTAAACTACCCTGCCATATTTTGGAGAGCAACATAATAGTATGGTAAAATGTTATATGAATGTGACCCTACCTTGTTATCAGTTATGAAATAAGATAGTGTGTATTTGCTTTTGAATCTAGCTGCCCAGCATTTTAGCAAGAAAATGCTTGATAGAACAAGGATAAACTTTTATCCTGCAAAAAAGCAGATATGGCCAGTGTACAGTCACTAAAAATTTGGAAGGATGGTAGATATACTATCTAGAGGACCGTATCATAGAAATGCAATGTTAATAAACATGGCTGTTAACTACTGTATGTTCTCTTCATGTTTTGGTTATTCATCCCTTACCTTCATGTTTTAGCACCATTACACTGTTTGTCTCAAACTTTTCATATTACTTTATTTTGTTGAACAACTGTACAGTATTTGCTTTGTCCCTTCTCTTTCAATCTATAGAAAATTTTTTCATTTTTCATGAGGGTTACTGCTACAAAGTTCCCAAAGCAGTAGTCATAGTCTAATTAGTGAACATTTTAATTTCAGGTATGATGTAGATCATTTTACTGGAAGGATTCATGAAGGACTAGTCTTCTGTTGGTAAGCAACACTCCAACATTTACTTGTACTTTTAACTGTGTGTACAGTTAGTTGCCCACAGGTATAGTGTTCCACCTCTCGGCCATCATTAATACAATTGAATATAAATAAAGGTACAGGTAATAGAGGTATTAGGCTATTTATTCAATTAGGCAATACAGTATATATGAACTCCAGGGGCTGATCCAGGAATATCAAGGGGGGGGGGGACATGACGAGTACAGCGAGCCCACCCAATTGGGGGGTTATGGAGGAGTGCTGTAAGCCTCCCCCCTACAGAATTTGTTTTTAATTCTGACCAATATTATAAGCATTTTGAAGCCCAAGTGCAATTGATATTAGGAGATATTCTGAGGTCAATAGTAATTATTTTTTACTATACAAAAATGCCTAAGTACAATACAGTACTTCATTAAAGAAAAAGTATTGTAATTTTCTTATGAAAAGTGGGGGTCTGGACCCCCAGGACCCCTTCTCTGGATCTGCCCCTGAACTCTCTTCTTGCAAATGTCTGGGCACATGAGAAACTGCTGGGAGTTAGATGTAAAGAAACCCAAGATATAGTGCTATGTAGGCCTACCCAACTCATTTTAAAAAGACTTTAATGTATTTAAATTTATTTAAAGTATGCACACACCAATGTTTTCTCTATTCTGTAATTTAAGAAATAAAATCAACTGAGTTTGTGAGTGTTTGAGGAAGGAAAATTTGACATACCCGGTAATCTACAGGTAGGTTTCGGGGTAATAATAGATGACCCAGGAAACCAGTAAATCATTAAAACCAGTTTGGTCTCGGCCCCAAGAGTCCCAGATTTGTGGGTTTATACCTGTACCAAACATATAAATATCAGTTTACTGTATCGTAATACATTTTCAATTAACATTTAAATGAATTCATGTAATCTCACCAATATAGTAAGTTAGAGTGAAATCTATTTACACATACTGTATCTGAGATAAGGGGGGTGAAGTATAAATGTACTGAAGAAACCCAAACCAATAACCCCTTTCTGGGCAATCACCCACTTTCGGGTAAAGGTAGAATGAGACGAGTAAAGAATTAAAAAATAGGAATCACAGATGGAATGTGTAAAGACTGTGGAATTGTACCAAATCTCCATTTGGGCAGTACAGTACTAAGTATGTAAGACTGACCCTTAAAGTAAACCGTCAACTGAACAATGAGTGAGTTCAGAAAAAATTACACAAAATTATGATAAAATTAGCACCTCGCAAAAATTATTTACACTAACTTTGTGTCCCATTTATGTCTCTGAGTGTATTTATTTCAATCTTTGCATTTAAGGTTATTCATAATTAAGTGTCTGTGAAAGCTAAACGTGATACCAACGATCGTTGACATTTCAACCTATTTTGAATATATAAACAGAAATTTGTGTATGCTCCATCAGCAAGCTTCTTTTTTACATTTTCCTGAGGTTGATCAAATAGCATCACATCTTCCAGTCCCTCATCCTCTAATGTGTCCCCTATATCAACACTCTCAGTACCTCCTCCAACTTCTTTATCTGCTCCAACCTGCAAAAGAATTGATCAGTTAACAGTGTCCCATCAATGAAAGTATACAAAGTTCAACCCCCAGCACCAGGGTTGCCACTCAGGAAAATAAAAGCCCAGATGACCTACTAAAAAGACAATATTGATCCAAAATATCCAAGATATACAATAACACTCACAAACAATTGCTAATTCTAATACTAAGCAGCTCCCTTATGGCTTTGTAGAGACCTTCACCACTCACATTATCAACCTCAACAATGTCAAGTACGGTAGACCCTTGCCATTTGCGATTTCAACGATTCGCGGTAGCAGATGGTGGCTAGCTTGCCATCCCTTTCCCGCAGCACAAGAAGTCACCCCACGCAGCATCTCGTGTTGTACTCTCAAAACTTTGGTATTTCTGTGTGAAATGGCCCCTAAAAGACTGCCTAGTGTCAGTGCTAGTGGTGTGAGATGTAAAAGGCAGAAGTCAGTGATGACCATAACAAAGAAAGTTTTATTATTAGATGAGTTAAAAGAGGGGACGAGTGCTACCGCAGCTTGTCAGTTGTTTGGTATAGGTATACAGTATTGCACTAAGGTAGTATAAGTTGCTATTCGCGGTTTTGCCAATTCGCGCCATTTCTTGGAACCTATCCCTCGCGAATGGCAAGGGTCTACTGTAATGCATCGGCAACTTTACATTTGCTTTTATCATAATACCTTGCCATGAGCGTGGCGTCGCCACGAGGAGTCAGTCCATTGTTTACATCCAGTGTGCGCGCATGTTTCTCGCCCCAGCAGTTGGATTTAACTTTTACAAACATACAGTAAGTACAGTACAGTGCATTACCCTCATTCAAGATGACTGGAAAGAGGCCATCAAGTGGAAGTGACTGCAGTAGTGCAAAAAGAAGCCGCAAAGGCATTACATTGGACATTAAATTTGATGTTTTAAGAAGGTATATCATAAATTATTAATGTACTGTATTGTATGTGTTTATAAATGTTTATTTTCATTCATAAAAGTGCTTGAATTACTTTTTGGGAGCCGAAAATATTCCTTAGAAACGCATCTCCAGTTTTATAATGGGAGTCAATGGGAAAATAGGTTTCGCATTATGGGATTTCGCCATACGGTCAATTTTCCAGGGACGCAACCCTTCCGTAACGCAGGGGATGCCTGTACCTTTCTTTGAACTCAAATTTTTCACATGTTTAGATGAGGATTAATGGTTCA